CAGCTAGAGATATGGACGTATCAAGGAAAACATGTTTGCGCGTATATGAGAACATGTAGAGGATAGATTTCAATGAAATTGATACTGCGTTATTTTTATATTAATACCTATTTTTTTCTAACGTTGGGCTAAATCGAACGAGCCGAGCCGTTTCTGAAATATTGGCATATCTAAAAAAAATACGTTTGCGCTTTCGTAAGCAGAAGCGACGCTGGATGGAATTTGATGAAATTAATATGGGATTATCTAGACACCAATCCGCACAATCCTCGAAAATTTCATGAAAATCGGATAAACGGTAGTAGATGATATGTCCTTTACATCGATTTGACTACAGACAGACAGACACCGAACCAAATTTGATCCTTGATGTCTAAAATGTAAAACGCGAGTAAAAATTATCGATTCTGAGTACAAAACATTTTTTATCCTTCGCTAGTGAGGAAGCAAAATATGTTTATTTTAACATTGGCAGATCTATTGTAGGTTCACATTTTTCATCTAGTGAACCTATTGTTTCTACACTTTAGCTATCATAACTTTTATTCTATACTGAGGTCGTTTAAGAAGGCCACTATATTAAAAATGATATAATTATAATAATAAAACTTAAATTCAAAAATGCTTTGCTTAATATCTTGATTTTTTTATTTAACGTTTGCAATATAAATTGTATATACTTCTCCGGAAATGAGTCATATGAATACCTGTTTTCTAAACTAAAATAATATATACCTAATCTGAACTGCATATAATGAAAAGATTTGTTTGAAGCAATTGGCAAGCCAGCTGTGGTCTGAATGAAGTAAATCGAACTGTTTTGCGCTTACATAGGCAATAAATGTATTAGAAAATGACATTAAAGTACGGTAGTTTTGTCCTTTTATAAGAAAGGAGATACTAAGTAATGTAATATCCATCGAGATTCATTTCTATTTACTGTACCAAAGAAATTCTACACAAGAATCTCAGAAGCTAGAATAAGAAATATTTTCGATTGCCTGAGCGATATGGATTGGAAAACTCAAGTTGCCCATTGGAAAATAATTTGCAAATTGGTTCTTCAGTTTAAGACAGGTAATAGTGAAGTCCATCAACAAAGAAACATAGCTCTCTATCTGCTTACTGCCTCACACTTTGGATTGTGCTAATATGTATTAGTCTTCCAGAAAAGCTCGATTTCCTTTCAGATTTCTTCAAAAATCGTTTGCAAATGCACTAAACAGAAGGAGAGCTATTTCCTTTTCTCGATACACATCTCTATAACCTGCTTCAAAGTTAAGATAGTTCCAATGTGCATCGTCAGTAACAATCGAAAATAAAGTAGTTTTCACCATAATAAACCTCGTCTACTTCATTCATTTTCTAATACATTTAATGCCTAAAAACAGTGCCAAGCAGTTCGATTTACTTCGTTCTGACCACAGCTGACTTGCCAATTGCTTCGAAAAAGTCTTTCTTTCTGATATAATGGGCTTCACCACAATAACCCTGCATCGTCCATTTAATATCATCCATACTGCTTTATCATTTGATCCCCTTTTAGCAGCATCTTGAAATATTCTGTTCATCTGTATACTATATATTCGTTTATCCATATGGTTGATACTGATCCTTGTTTTCTTTTCCTAGATTTTGTCACTTCCTTTCTCGTTCGCTTAATGTATTTTTCCAATTTTTGGGTTCAATTTCGCGTTTTCCCTCATTTTGGAGACCAAATACTAACAATCAGTTCCGGTTACCTAGAAGAACTTATAGCTTCGCCCTTTACATCTGTCTTTGTGCAGAGCGAATAATGCATTCAACATCAAAATTTCCTATTCTTTTTAGATATGGTCCAACTTCCGAACAAAATAAAGGAAATAAAAATATTTTTTTTATTTGTGATATATGAGTTTTATTAAACAATCCATCAACTCTTCATTATATGTAGTTCAGGTTAGGTATATATTATTTTATTTTATAAAACAGGTATTCATATGACTCATTTCCGGAGAAGTATATACAATTTATATTGCAAACGTTAAATAAAAAAATCAAGATATTCAGCAAAGTATTTTTGAATTAAGTTTTATTATTATAATTATATCATTTTTATAATAGAGACATTTTTAAACGACCTCCGTATAGAATAAAAAAAAATAAAATAATAAATTTTAAAAAAAATTGTTTAATTTTTTTGGACAATTTAATTATTGCATTAATATTTGTTCGTTAATACAGTCAATATAATGTACCAAAAACGATATCATAGCACTATAACTAAGCCATTTATGAGCACTGAATGGCTCATAAATGAGGCCTGTAGAGGCCTATAGTCACCGGCGCCAGTACCGCTTTTCTGCCGCTTAAGTGCATTTTCTACTTTTCTACGGAACTGCTTCAAATATTTTAAAAAGTGGTTAGTGTTTTAGAATGAAAAATATATTCTCTAGATGTGTTAATTCAGCACGGTTTGCGTTATTGTTGGCCGTTTAATTACAAACTACGTTTGATTTTCAACTTGGAAATTTTGTTGTTGAAAAAATTGACTTTGATTGTGTTTTTTATTGACTAAGCCAATTATTTTTTCATGTTTTCTTATTCTCTGAATATCCAGCTTTAATAAAAGACCAACTATGAAGAAATTATACCAGCAAATGACAAATGCTGATTCTCAGTGACCAAAAAACTAACTAAAGTCAAAGTTGTCAATCCGCCATTTTGGAGCAGTTCGTTCTTTTTTTTTTTTTTTTTGTGGGAACATTGGCTTCTTTTTAATAAATATTTACAAGGAACACAACAATATGCAATTTATAGGGATGGGGGGTGCACCACGGTAGGGGGATCCTGCCCACCGGGTGTAGGACTTCTGTGGGAGTCTTAGGCCAACGAAAGAAAAAAGAAAAAAAAAAAAAAAAGACCTTTGTCTTAAGCAACCAGCTAAATAAGAAGGGGATATGGTAGTGACCTTACATTAGGGGCGGGGTGTGTAACAGCACGCTAGTTGCCTGGCAACCGGATAACAGAAATTTGAGATGATATAAAAAGTACGAGTTCGCGTCCCGGTGCCGGAGGGGATTTTTAAATTCCCCGCCCTAACCCCCCGGCCCGGGAAAATCCCGTATAGCCTAAAAGGCGAGGTAGGGAAGAACAAAAAAAAAAAAAAAAAAAAAAAGGTAAGTGACCTTACAACTGATGTAATTTTTAATTTGCAAAATATTTCTAATATTCTTTAATAGGAGAAAGTATTTCATTTATTTAAATAAACTTAAAAACGAACCCCTTTTAGCTACATATTTTGCCTTGACCACCTGCACTTGCCTTGAGAGATTTCTATTTAATTTCTTAATAAGTGCTTATTAGTTGTGTAGAGGTATTTGGTAATTTGATTAATAAAATAAAATAAACAATAATGCAATAAGTTCGATTTTCCACAAAGTTAAAAGTTATATTTTGTTTAAAAGAAAATTCTGAGCAATATTTAAATTATAAAGAATAGCAACTCTGACTCCATGGATTTTATATTGAGTTATAATAGATTTTGAATTATTTCATCATTTCAGAAGTATTACTTCCGGATCAGTAGCGGATACAGGGTATGGTATACTTTTTGTTTTGGTAGGAAGGGTGTTTTTAATTTTATAATAATGATAATTACTCTGGAAACAGATTTAATCCGAGATCTCGTGGCAAAAAAGGTATCTTATTTCATACTAAGTTTTGTACTTATAAATGAAAGACGGGATGAGAAAAATGCCAGTCTGCCAGCATTTTCAACACCACTCAAATCATATAATAATTATTAATTATTTTCAAGAAACCGTCGTGTTCGAAGTATTTATTTTACGCGTATTTATAGTTATTTTGAACTCCTACCTATTTACAAAATAATCTAATACGGGAAGTACTACTTTATTTTATCATGCTCTTGTTCATCTATATAACAGAGTTTGCCGGTTGGGGAAGAGTAAGCGTATTCTATCTCCAATCCAGTGCCTTATATACACTTCAGAATTTCTGCTACTAGAACAAGTGTACAAAGTATTTTTTCACTTTAGGTATTCATTGCCTAATGCGCCTTTCTCTTCCTACCATAGGTACAGACTTTCCATACTAGTTGGGAAGGGCTATGAACACCCCAAAAAAGTTGGAAGTTTTATGTATAAAAAGTATTAGTGATAATTAACATAATCAATGTAATTATTGTAAAACGAAGAATATAATGATATATATATATAGAGAGAGAGAGAGATTTTTTTTTTTTGAGGTATGGGTATATTTGAAAATATGTTAACCAATCTATGGAATATATTACAATATTGTTATATTTGAAATAGTGAGATGATCTCTCAATTATCCGATGCTTCAAATATGTCATGGGAATTTCGGATAAGATCTTAAAATAGAAGAGTGCGCATGAATGTATCGTAAAATCCTAGGAGATGTTTCTACTTTGAATCGCAATTAAAATTTCAATAACAGCAACATAGGGCGTAACTACTTCTAGAGCTTAGCTTAGCTACCTAGTCGACTTATACTATTTTCTTAATTGAGTTTAGTTTACATATTTTATTCATTCATGTAGATTAATTGTTATTAATTTTATTTTCGATCGTCCTTTTATTGTCGGAGCGATCGTCCTCCTCCCCTCCTAACATAGTTAGGCTAAACATACGAATACAGACCACTCCAGACAAGGGCGTACGCAGTTTTCATATTAGGGGGAGAGGGCAAGGCTGACATTTTTTTTTTCTGGAAAATTGTATTATTGTTACAATTTATAAATATTTTTATATGGAATACAATACTTCCATAGAACAACAACTTTTAAAAATTAATTTCCTCGAATTTTCGGCAAACTTTTTGTATTATATTATGTTTTATGTTTTTCAAATTATTTCTAAGGGAGAACGGCCCTTCCCTCTCACCCATGTGTATGCCCATGACTCCAAAAAGTGCATATTGTTATTACATTCAACCAGTTATTGAAAGAAATAAGTTTTGCTTCTGTTTATCAGGATAGTGCTGATGCTAGACGCAGGAGTTTTATTACTCTTGGTACATTGAAGAGAGAATCTACGGGCGGAAGCTGTGACTTGCCTACAACTGCTAATTCAGAGATAATACCTTCTGCTTTAACTCCTAGAAGTGAGTATGGATTTAATTTTTTTTAACAACTTACAATCAAGCTTAAGATCGACATAACTTCAATATATTTAATTAGTGAACTGTTATAATTCACGATCGTAAAAGTTCTTATTTTTACTCTAATAATGTTTATTTAAATTAGATTAAAACTATTCAATGAGAACCTGTGAGTATTTTTAAATCATTCGAAATCAAAATACTGCCGAATAGGGTCAGTGTAGATTCCTCACAATTTCTATTAATTATATATATATATTTGTTTTGTTTTTGTTTGTCCACTCCTTTCTCGCATTTTAGGCTTACGGGATTTTCACGGGCCAGGAGGGTGAGGGCGGGATATTAAAATGCCAGAATTAAAAGTCCCTCTGGGCACTAGGACGATGACTATTATTTATTTAGACGAGGATTGCTCCTAATTATTTTATCAAATTGTTTTTCATCCGAGCAGCACGATACTGTGCACACTAAATAGCTGAAATACTGTAATTTCAAAGTATAGTAGTCAAGAGTGCCCATCTCCTCCTAGATCGATAGGGCATGTACCCCTCTCTTGCTCCCCTATTTTTATAGGTGATAAATAGTCAGAAAGCAGTCATTTTAAAGGTTTTTATTGGTTCCAACGTTTCAACCCAAACATTTTGGTAATCATCGAACATTGAAGAAATTCATTTGAACACCTCCAATGTTCGAAACACACCCTGATGATTACCCACATGTTTGGTTTGAAACGTTGGCACCAAAAAAAAACTTTAAAATCACTGCGTCTATTTATCACCTATGATATTTAGAACAGTCTACTAAATTCCAATTCAATTACTCCTCTATTTTTAAGAACAGTTCAAGCGAAAGTAGAATTAGAAAAAATGTATTCATATACAGTTATACTGATTGTTGTCTTCTCCTTGTTTCCGGGGTTGAAACTTTTCATTCCAGAAATAACCCCACCTTAAAGTGCCATCCTCAAAAATCTTGATGGCGTAACTTGCGCCATTAACCCCCTTATTGTCGTCAAGAATAAAGCATGTATCTCGCGCAGACAGAATGAGATAAAATCTAATTCGAAGGGATCCTTCGATCTTGAATTCGATATCGCGAACCAACGAAAGTTTTTTTTGTTTGATTGAACTACAAATCGGTCTTGTTATATGAATTGTATACAAATTATAGATTTGTATAGGCTTATCGAGGTTTTCCATATCAAAGGTAAACATAAATTTGCTGGGCTACATTGGTGGTAGTACCAATATTCAAAATAGGAAGTTACTTATGTATCTTTTGGTATTTTATGAAGTTTAGTAGTATACACGGTTAACAGTTTGCCTAACATTAGTAATTTCTCAGAAAATCGGATGTAAAAAAACATCAATCGCGTTTATGCCAATTTTTCTCTAAATAAATACCCAATTAGATTGACTCCTTCTAAAAAGCGCTCATCGACTTAACCCGCTGATCGTAGAGAAAATTTTTAGCAAGATAAATTGTGAAAAATTGTTTTGTGTTTAGTGGTCTTCTCGAAAAACAAATTTTTTTCAAAATATATGTGAACAACCAAGAAAGTTCCAACATTTTGATATCAATTATAATTTTCGGGTTGTTAGATATACTTCAGAGTCAGGCCTTCATTACATTAGGTAACATAAATCACCTCTGGCTCCTGAACTGTTCAATTTGAAAATATCAGTTTGATGGAAAGGCAAACTTGTAAATCTTTGGCTGAAAGAGGCCCATCCTCCCAAGAGCGATAACACATCCCCTCTCCGAAGAAAATTGATTGTTTTATTCTTAAAAACGGTGCAAATAAAATTGAAATTACAAAAAATTTATTGTAGCTATTTCCGTTGTTTCTTGCTTTAAAAGTTTTCTTTAATTTAAACCCCAATAATCTATAATTCCCTCCAAAAATTCACAACATCGTAAATAAATGATTTCCTCAAAAATTCACAACACCCTAAAAATTTGCCCTCCTAAAAGAATTTGATGGCGCAACTTGCACCATGCAATCCCCTACTGGTCACCCCTGGATAATATTTAATATAATATTGGGGATTCCCCAACTTCTATTTTGTTTTCATAATCAGTTGGAAACTTTCCTTTTTTTTCGACAATTTCAAATGATGGTTACAGAAGAAAAAATGGCTAATTCAATTTTTTTTTTTTTTAAGAATAAACTCGTGTATAATTATAAAGAGTGTTGTTAGCTCTGGAGCCAGAGCCCAAAAATCGACCTGATCGCAGGCGAAGGTTTGAATGTAAATTACGAAAGTGTATTGTATTCTGTGTAAATTAAACCTTGTCTGCCCCCTAAATAGTGCTAAATAAGTGCTTTCCCTAAATAGTAATGAATCCAAGACCCTTCATGGGTTGTAGTGGTACACAGGTATATATGGATTTAGACATGTAAAAAATTAATTTTCTAACGCGGTTCGCCAAGGGAATACTTTTTACTGCCAAAAAAGTCAGATTTTTTTCGAAAAATGTACTCTTTAAGAAATTACAGAACGTTAAATCGTGCGTCGAACGAGTACATAGACTTAATAATTTGGTTACGAGGTAAGTTATAAAACCACGGTCAACCAACGCAGAGTTTTATCAAATTTGTCAAAAACTGAGAAATATTACTATAAACGCCCCCTACAACATGTTAATGAGTTTCCTAAGAGAAAAAATCCATATAATCAAAGTTGTAGAGCTTCAACTGAGTACTGACATTTTGATTGTAGGCCAATTATATATCTCGAATCGGGATTCGTTATTTCTTAATGAAATGAAACGGTATCTTTCGAATCATCGTTTATTAAAATCCTTCGCTGCTGAGAGGTGGAAAAGAGGCTTATACTGCATTTAACATACTCTAAACAAAAATAACTCAGTAGTATAGTCACCCATAGGGTTGAAATATTTAAAATCACGTATACCTTCATTATCAATTTCTATCCATTGAGAGATTACCGATTTTGTTCGGAGTAAGTAGTGATCTACATTACAATAGTTGGTACTCAGTGAACACAAAATTTGATGCTCCACAACTTTGATTCCATAGATTTTTCCTCTTAAGGAACTCATTTCCAAGCTATAGTACCATTTATAATCATTTGACACGGTTTCAGACAAATTTGGTAAAAATCAGCGTTGGTTGACCGTGGTTTTCTATCATACTACTTAGCCATATTATTATGTTTAGGTACACCTCCGGCGCACATTTTAGCCTTATTTAATTTATTAAAGAGTACATTTTTCGCTTTATTACATCGTTTAAGATTTATAGGTAAAAAAACAAAAAAATATTCTTAAAAAATCGGACTTTTTTTACTGTAAAAAGTTTTCCCCTCGGTGGCCCACGTTTACAATTTTGTATTTTTACATGTCCAAACCCATATCATATATACTAGTTAAAAAATAAAAACTTTTCTCACATTTTTCGCAACGGATTTCCCATTCCGATCCTCAAGTTACTGGCCTAATATTCTTTAAAATAGTTGCCATTTTTGAAGCAGCGGGCTCTTCAATGGCAGACAAGGTCCATTTTACTCAGAACACTTTCCTAATTTACATTCAAACCTTCGCCTGCGATCAGATAGATTTTTGGGCCAGTTTTAGATTTTGAGATTTTTGAGCTCCAGTGCTATGTGAATTATAAGGCATAATTCTCCAAATAGGTGGAAAATATAGGCAGTGCCAGACTTAGGTCTGGACAATTGCCCCCGGGCGCCGATTATCTGGGGCGCTCGTCTAGAATTTAAAAAAAAAGTACTAACAAAATGTATTAAAATAATTAATTTTAGCTTATTATTAAAGCCTATAATTCAAATTCGAACCTATAATTCAAATATTACGTCGTAAAAAACAGCTTTAAAAATAAATTTAATTTTTTTATGGGGTAAGATGATGTCATTTCGGGGGGGGGGGGCCAAATGTCAATATCAATGATTATGGGGAAGGATGTCAATCTGTTAATTTCTAATATATTGTAGTATTCTCAGTTCCTTTTAGGCTTATGCCTATTTTTTTTTTTTTTTTTTTTTTTTAACTGTATCAATTGAGACTTTTTTTTATCTCTAATTAATTTATTTATCTCTTTAATTATTATTTCTATATTTTGTAATTTTATTTTTTTCAATACCAAGAAAAAGTTGGGATAAACAAATAAACACTATATGGTTACTACAATAATGTTAAAATTATGTATGTATATATACCATCACCTTCATCATCATCATTATTTATATCATAACCATGCTGTTCTATGAAATTAATTCAACTGTTTAATAGGCGACTGTATTCCTGTTGAAATGAGGTTGAGTCCTGAACCATTGGCAAAAGATAGAGTACCAACACCAGAAAGACGTACCAGATCACCTTTGGAAAGAGCCAATTCTCTTGATTTACCATCTGATCAAGATTCTCCTGGTATCGTAAGTAGGAAAAATGTTATTTAATGTCATATATTGATACCCAGTGAATATTTAAAACAAAGGCTATTGTAAATAAATATGTCTCATTAGGTCTCATTTAGTTTATGTATTAAACTTTATTTATAAAATGAATTTTATATTGCAAAATATTAAATGTGTAAAGTAGAATTTGAAAAATTAACAATAGAAGCAAAAACAAATAGTAGTTTTAGTTTGAGGCTACAATGAAGTCAAGTTTGTTTGGGGAGAAGAATCTTAATATGGTATAGCTGATAGATATGTATAGCTATGGTAGCTATGTTCAGATATATGTAGCTGAGAGATGTGATTTTTAAACTACCATTAATAATTAAACTTAATTATTTGTTTCCTTAAAATTATTTATATCCATTCACAATTATGAAACTTATATATTTATTTTCAGGGTACTCCAGATAAAGTTCTTGCCCCAAGTACATTCATAGAAATTACTTCTTCTCCTGTCAAAGATTCACCTGAAAATGACTTATATGATTCAGAAATAACTAATCAATGGAACACTGAAAACAACAACAACATTACATTAGACAAACTAGATAATGTAATTAAGCCTATTGAATTTGGAACAAATATAAATGAAAAATCACCACCTTCACCAATTCCAAATATATATATGACATTTGGGGAAATAGATAAAGTGAATATTGAATTTTCTCAAAATTGTGCTAGTAATATCAAACAAAGTGAATTTGATGGGAAACAATTAGATGACCGAAGTTATACCATCGAATATTCTCAGTCATATGATAATTTAGATGAAAGAAGCTTGTGTACTGATAATGCCTTTACAGGAGTTTCATCATCTCTTGACAATCTAGAAGATATTGAAGATAAGAGCTTGAGTATTGAAATCATTCAATCTACTGGAAAATTGGATGATACCTTGGCTGTTTGTACTTTTCCTGCAAAGTCCAAATTTAGGGAAACTCATTCCTTAGAGCTTTTGGAGGAAGTAGTCGATTTAAAATCTTCGAAAAACAAAAGGCATTCGAGAAACAAATCCATAACACTCCAAGGTCAACCTCAATTTTGGAGAAGTGCTGATGTTATAGTGAAGTCATCAAGCTTTGAAAAATGCACAAACATAGATGCACAGCTTGAATGCTATGATGAAGCCTTGCGACAACTAGCAAAAGTTAATATGCCTAAAGCAATGCCTCCAAAAACTGATGAAACCAATATGAAACCATTACACAATTTTGTAAATGACATTCCGTTTCTACCCAAAGAAACCAATTACCATCCTGAAGATAATACTTTTCCGCAAGTCCATGACATAGAACCAATATCTTTAGATTTTCCTCCTGAAGTCTTAGAAAATGAGCCAGATTCTCTGGATATTGAAAAAGAAACATCATTTCCTCCTCCTCCAACATATTTCATGGAAAATGAAGATAATGAAATAGTTCATATTAATACTGTTGAAGCATGTCTTCAAACTATTGATATCAATTTACCACTTCCTATATCCATGTTGACACCTATAAAAGAGAATCATTTTGAATCAGATTCCTTATCTAATATGGAAGTACATGATGGCGATGAAAGTGAATCGTCAATTGTTGAAAATGATGTTGCTCCAAGAAAATGTTCAGCCACCCCTGGTCATTTCAATGTAGAAGTAATTGTAAACAATAAGAGTGGAGAAGCTTCCCCAGAATCTGTCAGTACGCCCGTTAATAAATCACCTGATGTCAATTATATCAAATCTAATTCTTATGATTCATCGAACTATTATGATGATGCTGATGATGTTTTCTTACAGGATGGTAATCTTCCTGACCAATATCATAAATATTTGGTTGATGTTAGAGCTCTTCAAATTCATCCAGATAAAATAGACTTCACTAAGGTAATGATTCCAGCTGACACACCTAGTCCACCTGAAAAGTCTTCTGATGAAGTTAATAATTCTCCTGTTGATAAAGAAATACCAACCAATAAATTTCCGTCATTAAACTTTGATATAGGAGGCATATGTAATTTGAAAACCAGCTCATCATTTGTAAGAATTGAGAAAAATGAAAATGGTGAAACTACAGGAGTAGGAAGACCTTTGCGTCGTAAAAGAAAACTACTGCTTGCAATGAGAGATGTTGAAGGAGGTGAAACTACAGAAAGTGGAGTTCAGATGGCCAGCATTGAGAATGATGAAGAAGAAGAAGATTCTGACGAGGATCCACCTTTCTGGCAAAGTACTGATAAAGGTGGATACTTTATCCGTCAAAACACTGTTATCCCTATCAATCCAGCTCTGCTGAAACCAGATATGTAAGTAATTAAATTTTAAATTACTAATTTTTTGTATTAAAAGTTAAGAAAATAATTATAAAAAATATTAATTTTTGTTCTCATAGAAAAATAATTATGGCAAGGAAATTAATCTCTTAATTCTTTTTATGTACATTGTAGTGATTCAGTACTTTATGATGATACTTATTTTATAAATCATAAATCTCTTTCCTCACATACCATAACAGTATTATATAAAAAATTGTTTTGTTTTATGTGTTATTTTTTTATTTAGATTAACTAAGTTGCATTAACAATTATTAAAAAATATAAAAAAGGACCAACATGCATCAGTTTGCCATAAAATAAATAATAAGATGGAAATCATTAACTATTGATAAATCTGAAGATAGCTTGAGCTTTTAAAAATAAACAACAATCACAAAACTTCGAGCTAGAAATGGGCAGGTGAATCAAGAATCAAATAAAAATTGATTCACTTGGAATCGGTCGATTCAGCGATTCACTAGGAATCGGTCATTGCACCGATTCACTTGATGAATTTTGATCAATTCTGCTAGAATGCTCTCAATTATCCACTGATTCTCAAAGGATTTATCTAGGAAATCACAATATCGTGTTCCATTGTTTCCTTGTTTGTTTTGTTTACTTTTGTATACTCTTCTATGATCATCTTCCTTTTTGGATATTTATAGCCTATGCTTATTTACATTACCATGTTGTTTATATACTGTTTGGTTTATTCATACAGTTTTTTCTCTCTCTTGTAATTTTATTTTTAATAATCTATTATTTTGTAAATACTTACTTATTTAAGATGGCCACACTATCTTATTTTATTTATTCTGTATTTTTAATTTATTTTCATTGAACACTAATCACAAGAATCATTTTTTTCATTTCATTTCATTTACAAATTATTTATACAGACTAAAATCTAATATGTAAAATAAAAATAATAAAAAATCCTTTCCAATTTAAACTTTCTTTGAACTTATAAAATTCATAACTTTTTATTTGTATACATTTGAACCAGGACTTTTAATTTCAATCAGTTAAAAAATAAATGTTTTGGGCTAAATGACTGTTAGGTTGAGCATGTTTGTTGTTTTGTTTTATTAATAATTATAATAGTTTATATAATAATTGAGTGGTAGGAATTTGATAATCTTTGGTATGGATTAATTGGTATGACCAGTACACTGGATCTGCAAATATCTTAAGAGAATCTAACAAAACAATTTGCACCTATTTTCTGATAATTAAAAGTCTTATTGACAAAAAAAAACTTTAGCGAAACCAAGTTATCATTAAAATTTTTCATTTTTTTAAATTTAAAACAGTTACCCTGTAGTTGTGCAATAACATTTGACTGCACTTGAAAAAAATAAACCAGAATATCTGTTACAGAAATAAGATTTTTAAATAATATGAAATATAAAACAAAGAACAGAGGATTACTTGTTGATGAAGGAAGCAATTAGAAGTTGAATCTTTTCCAAATTCATGTTATGGTGGGATCACTAATTTGAATTCCACACTTCCTATTCTACTATCCAGTAATGTCATCGTATAGTAGATGTAGTCTCCTCTGCATTGGAGCACGGAATGTACTGTACGGGAGTCTCGACACGTTTGAATGGGCATTTGATAGAATTTGGCATGCGGGACTGCTGTACAAACTCCAAAAATTCCTACTACCTACATAATGCCTGATTATTCGTTCCCATCATACTGATGGATACTTCAAAGGAAATAATAACAATACCTATTCATCCCTCTTTGCATAATCTTCTGGCGTTCCTCAAGGTAGACCCTAATTTTTATTAAATTTATACAGCTGTCATTCCAACACTGTCATCATCACGTATGCCGATGACACATGTATCCTATCATTTAATAACGACCCATTCATTGCATCCAAAACTCTTTAATCGCACATCACAAACCTTGAAGAATGGTGTCGAAACCGGAGAATTAAAATAAATTCCAATAAATCTCATTAAATTACCCTTACTCTTCATCATAAACCTATGACTTCCTATCCTACAGTATTCTTTAATAATATCCCAAGAACCCACCCTACCCTCTTCCCCTCCCAAGATATTTTCTTGCTCACCTTTCATACGAACAGAGCAAGGGAAACTAGAATTAGAAAAATTGTAGATCATACACAATTACACTTACTGTGGCCTGTTTCACGTTTTCTCCTTTTCCATTATTCTGAAACTTTTCATTCCGAAAATTCATAGCCCCATTGAAATTTGCTCCCCTCCAAAATTCAAAATATGCTCCCCATAAGAAGTTCGATGGAGTAACCTGCGCCATAAACCCCCATCTGAGCACCCCTGTAGAGCTTTAGTGCCTTCTTAAATTGAATTATCTTCCCTTAAGGTATTTGTTTATTTATAGAAGGTCTTTTAAAACTTTTTGTCACCACTCCATCATTTCTTCCAAATATTGTATAATCGATATTGGAACTTCATTTGTGGTGAAACAGAATCTTTATGAATGTATTCAAATTTGCAAAATTCATATTTTGTCTTCCATCAGTATTACAATGTCTATTAAAAATATTTTGCTTTAATTTAAATTCTATTAAATTATTTCTTTTTATCTTAATATTAATGATATACCATAATCAACTAAAATACTTACTTCTATAATCATTTATTTCTTTGTAAATATTCCACAATTTGTTATTGTAATAGGTTTCCGAGGGGTACCTGATTTTGTTCCAAATTCTTCTATCTATTTAAACAATAATACAAAACATTACTTTTGGGTTATTTTTATATTATCTTTATGTTTATAATTATGATTTTAGACGAACATGAGTTAATCATCGATAAATCGTTTAATTATATGTAAACAAAAAATATGATGTTATGTACTTTATAAACAAATAAACACTTCTATCTATCTAATTATGATTTTATTTATATAAAATTAATTAATAATTTATGTCTTTTATAAGATAAAATAGGACTGAAATTGTTACCAATATGATATTTCTTAAAATATTTTAAGAATTGGTTGGAAAAATATTGGAATATTGGAATAATTGGTTGATTGTTAATTGCAACTACTGCTGCTGTAGTTTTGTAAGTTTTTGTTGATTTATTGTTTGCTCGACTCTAGGTAAAATGTAGACAATTGTAAGAAAGTTTTAGTATGTTTATTTGCAAATATTTTGGTGCGTACGTATAAATATAGTTATAATTATTACTTGTTAACATATACGGGTATCAAATACAATTATAATGAGTAATTATAAATATTTTTTCAAGTTATATATATCTATAATTGTGAATAATTGGTAATAGTGATAAAGAAAAATTTCAAGAATCACAAAATATTGCTAAGATAAAACCAGTTTTGATATATAGCTACAAGACCTGAACACTAACCAACATTCTAGAAAGGACTATTGAAATATTTGAGAGAAAAATCCTCTGCATGATAAGCAGAGCGATCTGAGATCAGAATACTTACACATGGAGGAGAAATACCAATAATGAGCTGCTTACAGGAGCTGGTCAATCAATATCACATGATATTAAGGTGAGGAGGTTAATATGGTCGGGTAGCTCAGAGTATAACATCTCGAAGCCTGTACACAATAATGAATGCCTCAAGGCAAAAGACCACGTGGAAGGCCAAAAACCAGGTTGATAGATAGAATAAAAAATACAATAGAACTGGGTACATGCAAAAACTGTAAAGAAATTGCTTAATATAGGCAGAGATCAAGTAGGCTGATTAAGGCAGCAAAAAATCTACAAGGTCTGTAATTCCAACAGAAAAAAAAAATCCTAAGATATTCACTCTTACCATTTGTTCAAATTTCAATTTGTGTATTGTATAGCTGTTGTTTTTTTTTCACTCAGACCTAGAAGACATTTATACCTATTTTATATTTTGCCTTGTATTTAAAAACTAAGTTCTCTGTGAACCTACTTTATGGAAAGTAGCTTTATCGACTCATGTTCTAATTTATAAGTAATATTAGTTACCATTTCTAGAGTCCTCAAGTTCTTAATCACTCTTCCAATAACAACATATTGGTTTTGTAAGAAAGAAAGTTTTTGAAATGCCACAAAAAACTGACAAAAGTTAACGTTTGGGTAAAGTGTGAATGATGCAATTACACCTGAAATGATGAATAGTGTAATTAATAAATATTTATAACAAAATTGTTTTATTCCTATGAGGTGATAATTTATTATTTTCACTTACCTATTTATGGAATATTTTGTTATGAAAAGCATTGGGATAATGAATTTTAATCGTTACCAACGGAAATACTCGTTTTGAAGTCTCTTGAGGCCAAATAATCAAGTCTCGTAAAATAGTCTGTGAAGAGCCTAGCTCAAAAATGAAAAGTCATTCCAAATTTAAATTATGCATTTTAGTAACTATATCTCGCGTAGTCTCATTGCCGCGTAGGGGAGCGTCCCACGAGTTGCGGATGTGGGGATAGTTGGAGGAAATTCATTAAAAGTTTCTCCTGACTAAGTTGGATGGATTCGCTGACCAACAATGAGAGAAACCCTCCAGACTCGATGACGTAGAATTGAACGTCCTAATCGCGTATCTTTAGTTCACCATACATCACAAATAGTCATGGATCTAACTACGATAAAACGCTCATTATACGGAGGTAAACTAGTTCCCAGTTCGGGTCTCCGGTGGGGACTGCTTTAGGTGATTCATGTCGCAAGCTGGAAAATAGGAGTTTAGGTATCGGTACGTGGAACTTACGGAGTTTAAATACGGCAGGTGGGATAAAATCGGTCGCGAATGAGGTTAATGGGAACAATTTGGATATCGTGGCTCTGCAAGAGGTTCCCTGGCCAGCAGTGAGATCGATAAGGAAAGTACACTATTTGGTACAGAGGAAGCGGGAATCATTGTTTACGTTCTGGGTTTGCAATTAGGAGTTGATTTCTATCCGCTTTGAAGGAAATACAATTATTTAGTGATAAAATTCGGTAGCTATATTTCAGGGACGTTGGTTCAAAATCGCGTTAGTAAATATACACTGTCCCACCGAAGTCAGTGGTGATAAACTCAAATGCGAATATAATGATAAACTCGAATGGGCTTATGATAAGCTACTGCCAAACTCCATGAAAATAATTGTAGGTGACGTGAACGCAAAGGTGAGAAGAGCAGAAGTTTATTTTATGACGATTGGTTATCAAATCGATCATGTCTTTATACAACATAGCTGGTAAAACAGTGTAATTAATGTACGGTCTTATCGCGGAGCAGAATGTGGGTCGGATCATGAATTAGTAATCCTTAAACTTCGACAAAATTTATAAAAGAGAAAACCGTTTCGATATCGAGAATTTTAATTTGTAAATATTAAAAATCCATCAATTAGAACTCAATTCAAGCTAGATTTTATGAATAGGTATAAAGCTTTAGAACATTCTGGCGAGGAATTCCATGACTTAGACAAGTTATGGGTAGGGACCAGGAATAATATTAGAGCGGTCGGTAACGTGTTTCTTAGAAAAAAGGAAAATAAAAAACCAACCGTGGCTCGATGAAGATTGTTTAAACAAGTATGATAAAAGAAATCTGCTAAATTAATAGATCTAATTAATCCTAGCGAAGACAATCTGGAATACTTCGTAAACTTAAAGAATGAAACGACTAAATTGCTCAAAAATAAAAAGAGTATTTTAATAATTAAATAATAGAAGTAGAAACTAATATAATCGAAAATAACGTCAGATATATGTACAACGTTCTAAAAAGATCACGTTAATGCTTAGGGCCCGTCACGTCTGGAATTAATGATGAAAATAGCTATATTCTGACCGGTAGACATATCAAATAAGTTTAAGAACCACTTTGACAATATTTTAAATACCGAAAATAATCATCTATGTCCTCTTTCTGAGTACCAGAGTGCTGAACTGTTAATAGAAGAACCGAATAAAGAGGAAGTTGAAGTAGCTATCGGAAAATTAAAATCTTATAAAGCTACGGGAACGGATAATATTCCTACTGAACTAATTAAGGCATGCGGGGAAGCTGGAGTTTCTTAAATACATTTGTTAGTTAAAAAGATCTGGGTGAATGAGAAATTACCTGAAGAATGGAAAGAATCTTCTTATTCCGATTCCCAAGTAGGGTCCGAGGACAGATTGCAATAACTATCGCGGAATTTCACTCCTTCTGGTATGTTATAAAATTTTATTTTTAATCTTAACTAGTCAAATCACGGAATACGCTGAGGAAATTATCGGAGACTATCTATGCGAATTTTGACGGAACCGTTCGACTATTGATAAAATATTTGACTTACGGCAAATATTGGAGAAAAAGTTAGAGTACAACAGTGTTGTTCGCCAACTGTATAATATTCTATTAAAAAAAAAAAATAAATCTATTTAGAATGTGCTTGACGGAAACACTCCATAAAGTTAGAATCGGTGATTATTTATCTGAAAAGTTAGAGCTTCGTTCGGGTTTTAAAAAAGTTGATTCCATTTCACCCGTCCTGTTTAATTTGGCATTAGAATATGCCATTAGGGAGGGAAAGCGTACCGAAAAAGGGTTGGATCTGGATGGGTCAACACCCCTGCTTGGCTATGCTTATGATTTGGTCCTGTTAAGCAAAGACACGGAAGCTATAAAATTATATTCGACTACGTTAATGAATGCCGGTAAAGAACTAGAGCTCGAAATAAACACGGATAAGACAAAATAAATGATTAGCTGCAAAAATGGCGATATTGTCGGTGATATCGATATATAAGGTAATATATTTGAACAGGTAAAGAAGTTTAGGTATCTTTGGTCTACAATAACTAGAAAAAACGAAGTTGAAGAGAAGATTAAGGTGATGCTAAAGATAGGCTGAAATTCTTGTTACTTTTTTTTGACTAAATTACTTAGCTCATGCCTTCTGTTCCGGAAATTAAAAATTATAATCTATAAAACCATAACCCTTCCTAAGGTTCTTTATGGATGCGAAACGTGGCCGCTTACAGCAAGAGATGAACAATGTCTTAAGGTTTTTGAAAATAAAGTATTGCGTAGATTATTCAGACCGAAGAAAGATGAGTTAACCTGTGAGTTCAGATGGTTACACAACGCCGAACAGCGTGAATTGTATCCGGTTTATATAATTGAGGTGATTACATCGCGGGGAATTAAATGTGCTTATAAAATTGTTGGACTAAGTATCGAAAGAATTCCTAAAAGGTCAATAGTTGCTGTGCTGGCAGGTAAATGTCGGAGGGGTAGACGGAAATGAAGGTGAGAAAATTGCATTAAAGCCGGTCTGAAGGGACTGGGTTTGGGAAGTGATCAGTGGAAGGAGGGAGAAGTAAGTAGACAGTGATTCGTTTTGTCGTTTTCGCTAAGCATTTTATTATTATTATTATTAATAAGTAACTCTATGTTAGAGATATTACTTTTTTTTTGTGACCTTTTTTTTTTTCAACAACTGAATCAATTTACTGAAACTGAAACTGGCATATTATTGGTTTTACAAATTGTTATTTTTTTTTTCTCCAAAATGGCTCTAACGATTTTGATTAAACTTGGTATATCAATATAAAATTAAATTGTCTTTATTATCAGGTAGATATTTTACCTCATTAAAATAATGTGATGGACTTAATTGGTGAATTTAAAAAATTGTTTCATTTAAAGCACATTCGATTTTGTTTATTTGAAATAATTAACCGCCTTACATTGTTAGTGGGAGTGGAGTAGCTCAGTGGTAGGGGGCTGTGCTTTCAAACCCCAACTCCCAGATTTAAATCCTGTTTCATGGCAGAAAAATTATTTATTGTGTATCATGTGCCATTGGGCGATTCTGGGACTAATAATATTGGATCAAGGAATAATGAAGAAAACAAGCCTGGTTGAGGTGTTATGAGTTCTCCAGAGTGCCCTTAAAGAGTTCACTTGTAATTGTAAAAGTGTAGTATAGACATTATTTATGGTGAAATAAAATACGTTAGTGCTTTAAAAAGATATTGATGTTTAAAAGCTGATTCCAGCTTAAAGATAAACAAAATTGTTGAAACATTAGTATTTTATGTTTAATTCTGTTTCTTTGAAATGATAAATCTCTCTCATTTTTGCATAGTTTTTCCTGAACTATTATATTAAATCATTCCACAGATTCAGTAATTCAATTACACCATTTTCTTTTATCAATGGTCAGGATTGTTCAGGCACTGCGCTCCTATCTCTTAGGCTTGGGTTCGAGTCCAGCTGTAATTGATAATTATGTGTTCTGTTTTATCGATTGTAGGTCGACGTTGAGGTTGAGAGACCCTTCTGGGGCATATTTAGCCTCCTATAAAGTGGGTACCCTTAATTTGGGGGGAAAATCTGGTGGCTGAATATGATCTTGACCAATCACGTCAATTGTTGGTCTAGAAACAATTATATATCCAATATGATCCTCTTGCAATTATTGAGTAAACATTACCTCCTTCACATTTTGTACTTATGTCTTTCTCAGAATTGCTCGGTTCTGTGTGAAAATGTGTGACAACTTGACAAGGTCCTTCGAAGAGTCTTTTGAGTTCCTCATTTTTTTATCATAAAATTAATTGATTATGTTTAACTTCTAGTCTATTAGGTGATTTCTTAATTATTAACTGTTCTGGTTAATGCTCTCATAACAACTTTTAAAGTTATATCAAATTTAAAATACCTGGTCCATTAAATTGTAAGAAGTAATTTTCACTTGCAAAAGGTTTCCCATATGCAGAACGGGGACTGGCTCCATTAGCATGATCTACATCTCCTCCTAGGAATCCTATTCCTGGCATAATGATGTACAGTTTTGTATTTTTGTATCCTTTTCCTTTTTCACCTCGAACAAATCTCAAAAAATTATCTCCAGCGATTGGTACAAAATCATTATATATTTCTATGTACATCCTTCCTAGTTTTCGTTCATTTAATATTTCAAAATCTAAAAAACATCTAAAACATACCATTCCTTTTCAAATATAAATTATTTTCCAGTTTCTTAATATTTAACAAAAATACTATAATAATAAAAAATTTTAATTTGGAAAATTTCACAATAAATCATTTTAGAAGTTTAAAAATGTTCAGACATATAGTGATAAGATTCATTCCAAATTTCAAGATGGAAAAATTATGGGATCAAGAGTAAATAAAAAATGGATGTTAAATAGGTTATATATGATTCATAATATAATAAAAAGAGATTTAATTTTTTTATAATTATCTAATGTTCTTGGATCATCCATTTATTAAATAATATAGGAAGCATATTGTCTTGCTAAAATGTAGTAAAATTAATAAAAGAACTTTATTTCAATCATCTACCGGTACTAGTAAAGAAAGTTTAAATGTTAAGCAGATGTTTTAATTCTCCATATCATATTTTCCTTATCTATTTTTCAATGAAGCAATTATTCAGTAAAACAAAGTACATTATCTTGGGTTGACAAAATGGGATTATATAAAGGGTTGACAAAATGGAGCACAAGACCCACTTGCTGGACTAGTACCCTCACTAGTATCAGTATCAGTATCCAGTACTGATACCAGTGGGTGTACTAGTCCAGCAAGTGGATCTTGTGCTCCATTTTGTCAATCCTTTATGGCTACCGTCAGGTTGCTGCCACGTATTTATCAGAGCTGGAATATCAAGATTAATTTCCCGTGGCCACAGAGAAAAGAAAATGAACCAGAACCTGGCACCAATTTGGGACTCATGCCTCAATGTGCTCGGTCATCCAGTCCTCTGTCTGCAAGCCAGCACATCATTCAAGTCAAATTCAGTAGTAATATGATAGCGAACAATTTTTTTTTTTCTTCTAAACATAATATCTTCTGTCAATTGTACAATATTTTATCAAGATAATGTGCTTCGTTTTACTGAATAATTGTTTCATTGAAAAATAGACAGGCAAAATATGATATGGAAAATTAAAACATCTGCTTAACATTTAAACTTTATTTACTCATAATCTCCACCTTGAAATTAGGCACAAATTTAACCAATATATGCTCAAAAATCATATATGCACAATAGTTTGAAGTTGAAGCACGTTTTGAAAGTCCAAACTTTTATTCTTTCACCCTCATCTTTTTGATGAATTAAATTACTAAATATAATTTTAAAAAGAATGAGAAAGAAATTCAGCTGTTCAAAATTAAATAATTTCTTCAGGTGAGCATTAATGAAACAATTAAGTCCATTTTTATCTACTTTAACATTTAATTTGCAAACAAAAATGAGATGAAAAAATACAAAAAGATTATGATTCTTACATTATTTTGTTCTAATGTTCAACTGTTGAATATTTCTTTTCAAAATTAAATGTATTATTTATTGATGACTGGCCTTTGAAATATCTCCTTTTTTATACAATTAATTTGTTGTTTTTATTTTATAATTAGTTTATCATTGTTAAAAACTTATTTACTGTATCATTTTAATTTATAGAAAATTTGTGTGATGTGGTGTAGGGAACTTGAAGGCTGCCATAATACATTGATGAAAGTTATCATTTTGAATGAAAACCAATAAAGGATTGTATAGTATTAATCTGAACTAATATTACTTTCTCTAAGGCAAATAAAATAAAATTTATGTGTGTGCATGCGTGTATCGAGAACCCAATGTTGTGTTCAAGGCTTCAAGTTCTACATTCAGGAAGGCTATATTAAGCTGGCAATGTAGCCTGAATGGGAGAGAAGTATCAAGAAAGTTATTGACTGAGTAGTTCTTTGGGTGAAAATAGAGCGCAAGGCCAAAGCATTGATGATCTACCGGTATGAGAAGTGATTCTCGACCAATTTCCATTGCCGTCACTAAGATCTTATTTCCCTGATTTTTGTTTGGAGAACAGATAAAAAGAAATTTATTTGTCTTGTTTATGAATTTAATTTATCAGAGAGGTGATGGTAGGAGAATACAATTTTGGACCCTCAAAAAGCACTTCCCTCATCCCAACTCAATTCATATACAAATTTCATTAAATTTAAAGTTTTGTATTCCATACTAAATTTTAATTACTGAAACAAGCCTCAAAAAATTGGATGCTGAATGCTATCAATATGTTGAAAGTTTGATTGTACATGCACCTGTTTATCACCTTCTTATTCAAGTATAAAAGCTCTCATTTGATTTATTTAAAAAACGCAAATACTAATTCTGTGTAAAAAAGGATATTTATCAAAGAGTTCAATGTACACCAAAAAAAAAAGTAAAATGGGGTAGGGTTAGGGTAAAAAGTAACAGATATTGAACAAAAGTTATTCACTGATAATGATATTCACTCCAAGTACATGGTACTGGCAATGCTCTTCAAATTTTAGTATTGCTTCTAATAATCAATAGATATGAAGGAATATCAGATTTATACCTTCCAAAGCCATCATACTTTCCTTTATGATATATATTTTATTGATCTAATATTATTATTTACCTAGTTCTCTTTTGCGGGTTACATCTTGTTATTTCAGAATTATTTTTCTCAGGTAATATGGACCACTTTTCTAGAGGGTCAAGAAGTTCATTTTTATATATTTCTGGATGTCTTGAAATAAAAAGCAAAGTATTTTTTCTGTCATTAAAACTATCCATTTGTGATTTCTTTGAGTATTTAGAACCCTAGGATAATATAATACAAGTTTATAACAATAATAATTATATTAGGCTGTTGGTAGGCTACTTAATTTTACAATTAGTTCAGGTTGAATACCATAACACATTCTCAGTCCATCTCATTAATTTATATTAAGTAAAATAAGAGGCTTCATTTCACTAGTAAAAAATTAGCAGCATTTACGTTAACAACTTTTTTGACCCAAAATTATTAACTACAAATAAAAACGCTATTGTAAAAATAGTATCTAATAACTTGTATTCTATGGGGACGCGGTGCGCCTACAAAAATTGTATGCTACAAGTTTAAATCTCGTTCACGGGATTAAATAACAAAAAAAATATAAAAATATAAATAATTAATAATAAATAAATAAGAGCAGTCCCTACTTGATTGCTTAGACCACTACGGCGCGGGTTCAATTCTCATATGGGGACGGTAATGTCCTCAACCTAAGATTCACAGGAAGGTGAGAGCAACCCCTTTGTCTAATAACATAGCTCCTTTGGTCCTCCAGATTTGGGGGTTGGGCACAGGGGTAATAACCCTACCCCGTAAAAAACAACAGGATAGAGACGTATGCAAAAGGTTGCCTACCATCCTGATGAAGAGAGAGTGATTGTGATCGCGTCCGGTTATTATAAATAACGTGCTCCCTGGAAATAATCCATATAAGAAGCGAACCAAACGATTACAGCTTATTGCCTAAAACAGCCCCAATAATGCGACAAGACTAATGGAAGAAGTCAAGAGTCAAGAGGAGTTTTTTTTTTTTTTATTTATTCATGATATTTACTACTGTGTTAAAAAATTAAATACATTAAGTAAATTTGATAACAGAAAATAATAACATGAAATGACTTGTTGAGAAACTACCCACTGGTAGCACTCTAAAAACAAAATGTATTTACAATAAGAGATCTCGAGGCCATCTTCTTTTCAGACACCTCGGAGGGTTATCAGGAATAGAAGAGGAAGCAAGGTTAGAGACGAGAGGATTCGAATGGTTCTGAAGTTTATTATGGAAGGATTGGTATCTGGATTGGACCAAATCGGAAACATGAGGAACATTAAGGTCATTATGGATTATTTTATTGGTGACAAAGTAAGGAGCATTGAGGATTTTCCAAAGGATTTTGGATTGTAAGGATTGGATACGAGAGGAATTTGATGGCTTAGTGGAGCCCCAAAGCTCAACTCCCAAGTCCAAATAGGTCTTATTGTAGTCATGTATATAAGTCTTTTGTAATTAACTGGAAGCTTAGAGCGTTTGTCTAGTAAGTGTTGGAGTAGTCGGAAACGCCGAGCGGTTTCTTGTCGTTTCAGTCTGGTATGAGGATTCCAAGTTAGACATTTGTCCAAGTGAAGTCCAAGGTATCGGATTTGTTCAACAGGGATAAGTGGGGTATTATTAAAGGATACTGTGGGACATGAGGTCAAAGGTTTACGTCGAAGGGTGAAGGTGATTTGATAGAATTTATTAGAATTTATTTTAATCCTCCAGTTTTGACACCATTCTTCAAGGCTTGTGATGTGCGATTGAAGAATTTGGGATGCAATGGTTGGGTCATTATTAACGGATAGGACACATGTATCATCGGCATACGTGGTAATAACAGTGTTAGGATGGGTTGGGATGTCAGCTGTATAAACTGTGTAAAGGATAGGACCAAGGATACTACCTTGAGGAACACCAGCGGACTGGGAAAAGAGGGATGAATAAGCATTATTGTGATTGACTTTTGAGTATCTCTCAGTTAGATAGGAACGGATAATGAGGAAGTATGTAGGATGTAGGAATTTACGGAGTTTGTAAAGCAGTCCTGAGTGCCAGACTCGATCAAAAGCCTGTTCTACATCGAGAAAGACTCCCGTGCAGTACATTCCGCGCTCTAATGCTGAGGAGACAACATCCACTACATGATGGCATTGCTGGATAGTGGAATGGGATCTGCGGAATCCAAACTGGTGATCTGGGATTATGTGATTAGAATCTAGGATTGGGTACAGGTGTTTTAGGATGAGTTTTTCCAGGACTTTGCCCATGATGGGTAAAAGAGAGATAGGACGGTAAGAGGATGGGTATTCTGGTGGTTTTTTGGGCTTGTGTATCATTTTGATAATGGATAGTTTCCAAGGGTCGGGAAAATATGTGGATCGGAGTACAGCATTATATATATATAAGTAAGGAATAGAGTGGCTTTCCGAGGAAGTAGTTTTAGGATCTGAGATGTAATTAGGTCGTGTCCAGGAGCTTTGCGGAAGGTAACCTGTGAATGATGTTGGATATTTCAGAAGGATGAAAGGCTTTAGGTGGAAGAGACATTTGGAGTGGTATATCCAGTTCTGCTTCAATACATTCAAGGTGATTTGGATTAAGAATATCGGGATGTGGATTAAAGGTTTTAAAGAGGTGGTGAGCAAATATTTGGGATTTTTCTTCGTCGGATTTGGACCAGGTTTGGGCTTTAGTGAGTAGTGGATGGTTGCAGTCTTTAAATCTCAGGAGCCTTTTAGTGGTCGTCCATAGTGATTTATTGGTAGGTGTAAGTTTTTCAGTAAAATTTAGTAAATTTTGAATTTTGTATTTTCTAATTTCTGATTTCAGTTTGTTAGTCAGTTGGGTGAAATGCGCTTTATCTGTTGGGTATCTAGTTCGATGCCACTTCGATCTTGCTCTGCGTTTTTCCTTTAATAAGATAGGAATATGCTGTGGCAAGTTAGTATTTTGTGGGTTGTTAATCTTATTGATAAAGGTATTATTTATACTGTCTGTTATTGATGATGTCAGTTTTTCTATGGCACCATTAATGTCTTCTTTTGTCTTTAGTGGAATTTTGAGGTCTAGTTTGTTTTCCAAATCATCACGAAATTTGTCTCAGTTTACTCGTCCAGTGATCAGTTTGGGAGGTGATGGTTTAGGAGCAAAGTCAGAATGTAGTGAAAGCAAAACTGGACTATGGTCTGAAGAAAGGTCATCCAGGGATTTGATTATAGTTTAGGAGGAGAAAATCTGGGAGATGATAAATATATCCAGGATATCGGGACGTTTTTTGAGGGATGTTGGCTAATAAGTAGGACTCATGGGCGAGAAAGAGGAGTTTAAAAAAAAAAAAAACTTGTATTCTATACATAGTGAATGTCCTCTCAATTCAAATTATATCCATCTTTGTAGATATATTTGTATTTATTCTTCCTTTGAACTATAAAATTACTTAACATTAAAATTCTTAATCTGTTAAATAGCAAATTTTACTTTCAAATCTGCAGAAACGTGGCATGTACGTTAGTATAGATTAATGGTCCATGTGACTGGTTAATATTATGCTAACCTGATCTTTCAAGAGATATAACCCTGCTAAAGACTAAATGAAATGTTGAAAACGAGATTCACATATTTCGATTTTTCAGCATCATAACTTCATTTTTACTATTTTCCTACAATCTATTGCTTCAATAAATATTTAGTTGAAATTTAAATTAATAGTATTGGTAATTTTATATAGTTTTTGCAATCAAGGCAAGATTTATTGAATTTAAGTATATTAGTATTTCGGATTTGTATTTGATTAATTGTTAGTCTTCAAATTTCATATAAAATTAAGTTGAATATATTTTATGTTTACTATTGTAAGTAAAAGTAATGGAGTAGATGTAGAATAGTTTGGTTCTGTAAATAAAAATTAAGGTTGTTAAATTGAAATTTAATGCATGTAAGTCAAATTTCTAGACATATTTAAAGCTAAGTAAAAACAAAAAAGTTGATTTCCTGCTTTAAAGCAATTACCATTTAAACTAAAAAATATATTACTCAGACTGAATATTTTAAACAATGAAACTATTTAGTTAAAATAGATAAGATATTTTCTGCTGAACCTAACTTCTATGGTTTAAAAAAAAAAAAAAATGACATGTATATACTTATAAAGAAATTCATAAAAGCCACCGAAGATTAGCTAACTTTTCAGAATTAGTCAATTAGCCTCATGGATTAGCAAACCTTGAAGTGGGCTGTACATTTGCTATTCATATCCTATATATACTGTCTATATATCTTTAATGCATTTGCATAACCAATTTTAAAAGGTAGATGAATTATGTAACACATATAAAATATTTATTGATATATGAGTTTGTACTTGACGTGATTTGAACTAATAAAAAAGCTTAAAACTATTGTGAATAATATACAGCCATGAAAGTCTAGTTAAGAAAAAATTATTGGTTTTATATTGTTGTTTTATGCACAATTTGTAACTAGTTTTAATTTTATTCAGTGAATTCAACCATATTTATAAATAATGGTGGAATTCTTTCAGATCAACTTATAATAATTACTGAAGTACCAGCATGCATTATTTGTGCATATACTAAATATGAATGTTATTTGTAATCTCTTAAACATAATGATTTTGATGATAAGTGATGAAGGGAGTTGTCACTCTAACTATAAATTGAAACTAAAAATTTGGAAGATTTGAAAATCTGTCAAACTGTGAAAATTGATGTAAAACATTTTTTGTCAAAGAGTTAATAAAATTTAAAACCTTACCACTAGTACTTTAAGTTTAGAATTTTGAATTTTATTGATACAATGATGTATTTGACTTGACAGAAATTATTGCTTTCATGTCCATGTTCGCAACAGACATGTGAAAATTTGAAATCCAAAAGATTTGAAAAAATTCAAATATTTCTGTAACTTGTTAAGACATAATTTTTTCAATTAATATTTTGGGAAATGTTGCTAGAACTGTTGAAACTGTTAGAAAATTTTGTTTTAACTGTTAAAATTGTTGGGACTTTTTTGCCAACTATTGATATTCCTGAGAAATGTTTTCAAACTATATAAATTGTTTAGAAATTTTAAATTTGTTCTCTCCTCACCCCGCAAAAGAAAAAAGATTATTAGCTTGTTTTGATATGTTTATAAGTAGCAACATTGGATAATACTGTAGGATGTTATAGTTGATAGTATTATTTTAATTTTATTAAGATGGCTGTAATATGGCAGACACATATCACCTAACTTCAGTGGCCGCTCTCCTTCATGATGATAAAATTATTTAATGTACATTTAGTTCTATTTATTGTATTTTTCATTCTATGATTGTTCTATACTAGCATATTTTCTGTTAACAAACCTATTGCATTAGTTTATTGTACTATAATCAAAATATCATACATTAACTTGTACATTTACCCTCAAACCTATCTTTATATCTTACAATTGTTGTAATCAAGTCATAGAGTTCTCTGTTTGCTCTTTCAGTCATTAAGTTATTTATTACTCTACTTTTGTAGTTGCTCTCTCTTATGAATGATCCCTCGTGGCAATCAACGATTCCCTGCTCAGAAAATGAAAAAAATTAAGTATTTTTTATTAAAATATCATTTTCATTAACTTAATCTAAAATAAGACAACTGTTATGGAGTAAATAAAAGTGTTGATTTGATTTAATAAGATTGTGTATTAAAAAAAAAAAAAAAAAAATATATATATATATATATATATATATATATATATATAAGTTTGTCCTTGGGTTTTTACTCATCAAATTTTACATTAAAATGTACATGAATGGCAAACATTTTGCAATATGTAATCCTTATATTTTAGAATCAGTGGCATATTCACAGAAAGAGAAAAAGAGGAAAGTTCACCTCTTATAATAATAATTGAGAAAAAACTAATACAACTGTCTAAAATATACCCTCTTACTACCATTAATCATGAATAACTGAAAAAATATCATTAATGAGGTAGACGAAAATTAAAAAAATTATTCACCTTTTGAAAAATTCATTGCAGATGAATAAATGGAATTAATTAAGTAATTCAGAATTACTAACCAATTCTGATAATAATTGGCTGCAAGTGCCTATGTTCACGATAATCGATTTTAAGTAGTTTGGGATATGAAATAGATGATCAATTTATTACAATATCTCACATAGACAAGGTAACATTTCTCCCAATTTCTGTGGTTGCCCTGATAATTCACCTCCCCTTCCTCCCATCCAAAATAGAAAACATATCTCTGGATCCGTTCCTGTTCAGAATAACTAAAAGTGTGTAGCATATAAAAGAAACACCTCCCATGACTGGAGGATACAGACTTGTGGCCCAATTTTGCTTTGGTGGTGGCTGTCATCTCTCTTTATTTTAACTTGAATAAGTATCCTTGCTAGAATCAACAGTGAAACTTACCCCTATAGTTTCACTCACAATGGTTCTGTAGTTATGATGAAAGAAAAGTCAAATAAGAAGTAGTGGAATATGAAAACAAACTGATAGTTTTAAAGCAACTTCTTTAACTTATTAATATTGTTATGAAATTGGATAAAAAAAAACTAGTGATTCCTTGAATAAAAGGTTGTTGCTGAGGCCATTTATTTTAAGAACATTGGTGAGTTCTGATCAGCTAACCATAAATAAATGCAAAGACATTTTTCTCCAACCATGGATAGTTGTTACCTCAGTGGGAGTGTGGAGATTAATTTATTGGGATCACCATGAAATAACTCACTGATAATCGAATCCACACCGTTCCAAACTAGGAACTCACTCCACTTTGCTCAGGCATATTATTTTTTAAGAATATTAGGATATCCATTGTTATTTGATTGCCCTTCTATTTTGCATGGATAGCTCTACTCACCACTGGACATTATATCTTAAATACTTACTATAAGTAATAAAGTTTTAAGTTCTTACCTTAGTCCTGATGATATAGTTAATTTTAGTGACGAGCGCTCTATTAGCTTGCTCAACATCCCTAAGCCTGGCTTGTGCAGCATTCAATATTCCATTTGATATATATAAATCAGCCTTTAGTCTAGGGGGATCAGTTTTTATTCTCTTTTCTGCATGCATTACCTTGAAAAAAAAAAATCAAAACAAACTTTTTTCTATTGTATTTATAAACATTGAACAATATTATTGCCAATATCAGCGTGAATAAGTCCTTGAAATAAACAATATCAATTAAAAAAGGTTTTGGTATTGTTGGGTGTCCTGTTCAAAAATCAAATAAATTATTGTTTAATTTAAAAAAACTGTCCAATCTCATTAACCTTCCACCTATGGAATATTTTAAAAATATAATAAAAGAATAGTTTCATTGGTGGTCATATATATAATTTATGTTTGAGGGGTTGTTTACCTATGGACGGTGGTCTCAGAAAACACATTGGTAAGCCATAAAAGGGCCCGAATGGCTTATGTGTATTGTGATAGTCTCTGAAACCATCTGCAAACAACAATGAACTCACTGTGTATAGAGAGAGGGCTTAAAACATGATCAAAGTAAACATAACTCATTTTTTCCATTTTTTGACTTACCAACTTATAGTATCAATGTAATGTTATGTATCATCATCCCCACATGTATTATTACAGTAAGGCTCAATATCGGTTTTGTTCCAAATATAAGCTCCTGTCATGCTCAAATACAATGAATGGGGTACCGTTGGATTCAGAATTTCATGGGGGGTTAGCGAATCGTATTCTCCACTTTTGATTTTCTTTCTAAAATAAATAAAGTCGATACAAAAATTTTGCTAGGCTTCAATACTGGAACGGTGGTAGGTCTGCAGATCGATACGGAATAAATTGGATCTTGAAGATTTTGATGCGTACAGCAAGACCCGGATAGTTCCTCCGGAACTATCGGATCCACCGTTTTTAAGCCCAAAAATGTACTATTTTCGAGATAACGCAAGGCATAGGGTTCGCATCCATACAGCCTTACGTTAATTGTAGTACTGTCATTGAATACTTGTCTCATTTCGTCGACTTGAAGCCTCTTTGATATAGAGAGAAGGAGTTTATATTATTTATCGATGGTGTTTTTGATCAGCAAGCCATATCATCATTAATTTTTCACCAAATCTCAAGATTGAGCAACCAATTTCGAAGGCTTCCTTCTCCTTCAGGCAGGCAAAATAGTCCAATCACCCAGAAAATTCAGGCAAACAAGTTATGAAAGAAAACAAACTTTATTTGCGAATAACTAAAAAATTACACACTTTTCCCTTTATTATGCCCATGATTATATAAAAGATTACTAAATTCCCTACAAAATGAAAAAAAAATCATTGAAATCGGACAATAGTTAGCAAAAATTTAGCTTACTGAAATTTGTGTACATGTTGGTTCTAAACAGAAATGAAGATTTAAATTCATTTTTGTTTTCTTTGTCGATTATATTTATTGATATAGGAAAATTTGATTTTTTTATCTTTTGATATGTTACATTATTTTATTTTCTTATTAATTTAGCATTTGTTAACAATATGCTGTGCGAATTTTTCGCGTTTTATACCCATCAGATACAACATATTACAACAAATTAACTAACCAACTAAAAGCTGAAATTAGAAAATACAACGTTCAAAATTTACTTAACATGACAGAAAAACTTTACTAATTGTGACAAATCACTATGGTTGACCACTAAAAAGCTCCTCAAATTCAAAGATTTTAACCACCCACTTATTACTGAAACCCAAACCTGGTCCAGATCTGATGAAGAAAAATCTCAAATATTTGCTCAGCACCTCTCAAAAACATTTAATCCACACCCAGACATCCTTAATCCAACCCACCTTGAGTTTATTGAAGCAGAATTGGATATCCCACTCCAATTGACTCCTCCACCTAAAGCATTTCATCCTTCAGAAATATCCAATATCATTAATAGATTACCTTCCCGCAAAGCTCCTGGCCATGACCTAATCACATCCCAGATCCTAAAATTTCTTCCTAAAAAAGCCATACTGTTCCTAACCTATATATTTAATGCTGTACTCCGCACCACATATTTTCCTGATTCTTGGAAACTATCCGTTGTCAAAATGATACCTAAACCCATAAAGCCACCAGAACACCCATCCTCTGACCGTCCTATCTCCCTTTTACCCTTTATGGGCAAAATCCTGGAAAAACTCATTTTAAAATGCCTGTATCCCATCCTAGACTCTAAACACATTATCCCAGATCACTAATTTGGATTCCGTACATCTCACTCCACTATTCAGCAATGCCATCGTGTGGTAGATGTAGTCTCCTCTGCATTGGAGCGCAGAATGTACTGCACGGGAGTTTTTCTTGACGTTGAACAGGCGTTTAATAGAGTCTGGCATCCGGGACTGATGTACAAACTCCGTCAATTCCTACCACCTACATACTTCCTCATTATCCGTTCCTACATTACTGACAGATACTTCAAAGTCAATCATAACAATGCTTATTCATCTCTTTTTACTCAGTCTGCCAGTGTTCCTCAAGGTAATATCCTAGGTCCTATCCTTTACACAGTTTATACAGCTGACATCCCAACCCAATCCAACACTGCCCATGACACGTGTGTCCTATCAGTTAATAACGATCCATCTATTGCATCCCAAACTCCTCAATCACACATCACATGCCTTGAAAACTGGTGACAAAACTGGAGGATTAAAATAAATTTCAATAAATCCCATCAAATTACTTTCACTCTTCGTCGTAAACCTATAACCTCCTGTCCTACAGTATCCTTCAACAATAGCCCTCTTATCCCTGTCGAATAAATCCGATACTTAGTTCTCTACCTTGACAAACGACTCACTTGGAACCCCCATACCAGACTGAAACGACTAGAAACCGCCCGACGTTTTCGACTACTACAGCACTTTCTAGACAAACACTTTAAGCTTTCAATCAATTATAAACGGCTCATATATATGACAATAATAAGACCTATTTGGACTTACGGAATTGAGCTTTGGGGCTCCACTAAACCATCGAATTCCTCTCGTATCCAATCCTTACAATCCAAAATCCTTCGTAAAATCCTCAACACTCTTTACTTTGTCACAAATAAAATCATCCATAAAGACCTTAATGTTTCATATGTTTCCGATTTGGCCCAATCCAGATACCTGTCCTTCCATAACAAACTTCAGAACCATCTGAATCCTCTCATTTCAAACCTTGCTTCCTCCTCGATCCCTGATAACCCTCCGAGGCGTCTGAAAAGAAGATGGCCTCGGGATCTTCTAATATAGATCTTTAATTTGAGTTCTACCAATGGGTAGTTTCTCTTCATGTTGTACATGTCATGTTACCAATTTCACATTTACTTATTGTATTTTCTATGTAATACAGTTGTAAATTCCATTAAAATAATAAAAAATATTAAAAAAAAATTCTTACTGCATCTAATGCAACACATTCTAAGGTTTTATTATATTAAATTGATTGTCTGTTTTTGATAAACTTTTAAAAAGTTATATGAATGTGTTTCTATGGGTATGGGCAATTAAATTCAAACACATTGATTAATTAAACTTCTTCCTATTGAAGAATCACATTCTTGAACAATGCAATAATTCTGCATGTTTATATGTTTTATTGCTTGGTTTATAATATTTGTGAGTGGTTACTTTCAATTTGTATCGATAATTTGGAATTTTATTTGCTTAATAATTTTAAATATATATTTTTAGGTTCTCGTGCTAGATGATTACACATTTTTGCTGTTGCAACATGTTTAAAGTAATTTTAATTTAATTAGTTCTGTTTATATTTAATACGATTTGCTTTTTATTAGTTCGAACAAAAGAAAAAAAAACAACAGTTAAGGTATAATTAAAATATCTATACAAAAATCACATACTTACCAGTCTTTTCAGGTATTAGAACTGATAAACATTAATGCAGATCATAAAGAACACATCTAACACAAACAGTAAAAAAAAAAAAATACTAACAAAACAGAAATAAATCACTTTAAGACAGTTGAACATATCGTCAGTTTATTTGCAAAAATTCACTAAGTGTATTTTTAATTCAGTTTAATTTTCAAATATGTTTTTGTCAATTTGGACCTTATCTATGAAGGAACACCATACATGCATTAAAATGGCACACACTCTTTTCTTTATTGCATATAGTTACACTAAGTTCACAATTCCTTGATTTCCTAATGGGAAATTCATCAAAGGTTTTAATTATTTGAAATTATGAAATGCCACTTAATGACTTTTTGCAATAAACCAACAGTAAATTAAATATAAATCATATAACTATGATAGTCTGTTTTTGACTGTTAATGTCAGATCTGTTCTTTATTGCCTGCATTGATGTGATCTTGATTCTTTGTTCACGGGCGGATCTATGGGGGGAGGGGGAGGGCTTTGGGGCTGAATCACCCCTCAAAATGGTAAAATATAACCTGTTTTATGGAAAAAAATTATCTCTTAAAGTATTATTGTTCATGTAATTACATTTAAAAGGATTTTAGTAATCACTTAAAAATTATTTCATGTAGGTAGTTAGTTTCTTTCTTTTTTCCAAATTAATTATCGTTATTTTTTTTTTAAAAAAAGCTTTCGGGCTGAAGCCCTCATCCCATACCCCAAAATTAAATCCTGGATCCGCTAGTGTCTCTGGCCTAGAGATCCCTGAATTACCATGCCTCAATTCAACCTAAGTTGCTATTTATAGATTCTAATGAAACATTTATTTACATTTTTTCTGTGTTCCTTGTAACGCTCCTGTTGGAGGTGGGTTCTCTCTGCCATTTTGGATTTCTTTTTCAAATAGTTTTCTAAATTATAAAAAGAAAAATTTAAACTCTCGTTTTATAAAAAATTTAGTGAAAAAAAATTTTAAAACAAACACATGGTTAATTTTATAAATCACATTATAATTAATTATGAAAAGTTTTCATATTTCATTTATTTTTCCAGGGCTGATGGATCGATGCCAGGTACATCTAAGACTCCACAAGGGGGTATGTTAATACTGATTATAATTAATTTTGTATTGAATGATTCATGATCTTGCTAGATTGTATATCAGCAATTATATTTTAGCAATCACAATTCTGAACAAAAAAAAAATAAGAATTAACTGTTTGATATTATTAAAACTACAAAAAATTGCTTAATAATAATATTTTTAAATTGTCTGTATGATTACCAAAAAACTAACTCTTATGAAAAAGATGTTAATACATAGTTTTTATTAATAAACTGCATTCTTAATTCTTAATCTGTATTAATCAATTAATGGATAATATTATTGAAGAAAATTTATTGATATACTTTTTCTTCACGGTATACCAAAAAATATACTTGCATGTATTTCACAATCTGTTTTATTTATATTTGGAATTATCTTTAAGACCATATCTGCTAAATTGAAGAACATATTTTTTAGTTATATCAAGCCCTCCTGGAAGTAGTGAGGCTGAAACGGCCAGTGCCTCAGACACACCAAAGCGTTCACCCAAGGTGCTGTTTCCAAGGAATATAATTAGTATTCCTTTAGTGCTCTGCCCTCCCGGCTTTCTCTTCCTTTCACTTCCTCTTGTATATAGTTCTCTTTAGTGTGTTAGTTGGCTTGTGTTTTTTTTTGTTGTTGTTTTTTTTTTGTTACATTTTTTAAATATGTATTTATTTTTGTTTTTGTAATTAACTTATAATTTTCTAATAGTTGTTGGATTTCCTTTTCTATTTATTATTACTTTTAATAGATATGTTGTAATATACTGAAGAATTTGAAAAGTATGTTTTATTTTTAAAATTGAACATGTTTTGCTATGGGTAACTTTAAAGGAATCATCGTAGAAAATTGTCCTGTTAAACTTTCCTGCCTACATAATCCAATATTTTAATGTACAAGGGACTTTAATTTACATGCATTTAATTGCATGTAAATTAAGATATAATTTATAGACTATAAAACCTTTTACTAGATCCTCAACTAAATTTTCAAGCCATTTCAATTATAAAGATAGCCATTGAAAAACATGTTCTATCTCTTTTAAACTTCAGGCTTGACTATATATGCAATAAGTAGGTAAATTACCAGGGTTAAGGGGGGGATGGTCATTTATTTGGAAGTAAAGTTTTTAATTTTTCTGTGAATAATCTACCAAAATTAAAGTAAAGATGTATAGTACAATCATATTATTTTTATTATCGTCATATTATTTAAGCATCTTATCTGTGGTCTGGATCTGATTTTTTATAACTCAGTTGTAATATTTTTATTTTCACAGCTACAAAAAGGTATGTTCCATAATTACTTAAAAGAGGCTACTGTTGAGAAAGGAAAATTAGAAGAAAAAGCTGCATCCCTTCTTGGAACTGCTGAAAGACTCCAGTATGAACTGGAAGACTCAAGGCAAGCTGAAGCTGCTCGAGAAGACACAATCGCTGTGTTACAGACCCAAGTAATTGCTTTTTAAATTTCTATTGTTTTTTTTTAAGTCTTCTTGCATGTAAATGCCAATATTAATTATAATTTTAACTTGTCTTTTTTTATTATAATAATAATTATCTTAACTTGATTAAAATATCTCATATAAACTGGAATACAGACCTTTTTTATTAAATTATTAACATCCGTTTAATACTTCATAAATGGCTTCATTTTTTTGTAACCTACAACTCTTTTATTTACGAAAACTCTCAGAAATGGAGCGTTTTCAATATGGAGATCTCAAAATAACGTTGTTATGGGCCAATCAGCCCAAATTTTTGTGGGCCATCTTTTTTCTATATTTTGTAAAGAAATTATCTTATGATTAAAGTGAAAAGCAATTGAATATTCATGAATTTTTAGTACTTCATTAAATTAATTAATTTAATGAGAAAATGCCTCATTTTGTTGACAAAAAAGTTGTATGATGTGATATGATAAGCCATTCACGAAGTTTTTGACAAATGTTAATAATTTGATGAAAAGAATTAATAATTTGATCTGTACCACAGACTACCGATAGATTTCTCAGCAAGAAAAGATGGAATAAATAAATAAAAATAACTTGATATATTGAGTTGGCAAATAAGTCCTTTCGTTTTTTCAGGGTGAAATAAAACTTAATGTATTATAGACATAAAATTTATTTGTATCTACAATATATTGACCATTATGTAATATGACTTTTTCCCATCTTTCCACTAACTGCATAATGCCATGTTCATAGAATGTCTGGAGTTTATTATTAAAAAACTGATCCAAGTGGTTTTTGATGTACTCTTCCTTTTGGAATTTCTTTCCATTCATGATTTTTGCAGAGACTGGAATAAGTGGTAATCACTTGTTGCTAGGTCTGGTGAATAGGGACGATGGGGCAAAAGGTCCCATGCAATGCTCAATAATTTATTGCGAGTGACCAATGGGGCCTAGCGTTGTCTTGGTGGAACACACAACACTTCCAATCTTTTATAACTCTTCAGAATGTTCTCCAAATTCGATGTTACTATATCCGTTGGAAAGCTGAATTATTGCTTTTCAATACCTTATGAATGTTTGTTTTTTTTGTTTAATGCCTATATAAGGAATAAATAAACAAAAACTCCTTATATGTTTTTATTTTTTATCTCCATTTTTAGTTTATTTACAGTAGTTTATGTGATCTTAAATAACTGCTAAATTTCTTGTAGATAGCTAATATCATATTGAAGTTATAACATTTTTTGTGTCACATGAAAAAAATCATGTGAGGTACCCAAACATTAAGCCTGGAAACATAGCCGAGCTTGTGCAAATGGTTGTCTTTTGTGTGTGACACATTTAGAGTCATAGCAATAGCAGCCAATGGATTGGGTGAGATTTTGATCAACAATGGCCTTAACGTTGCTCATTTCAATTTCATGTGGGCGGCCAGACCATTGAGCATCATTGATGTTAACATTTTCTGAATGAAATTTGGCAAACCAATTTTTACAGGTGTGTTCGCTTAAGGCATCTGCCCCATAAACACTGCAAATCTTTGTATGTGCTTCTGCAGCACACTTACCTTTTTTAAAATAATACAACAAAATATGCCAATAATGAATGATATTTTCTTCCATATTCACATTGCAATAGCAAACACAATACTAAGCTAGTTTCAACAAGAGTTAACAGATATAGTTGTTGATATATATTACAAACAGGATAAACAATCCACCATAGGGATTAATTCATCAGATAAGAAGTGTATCATAGTGACATAAAAATAAACAGAAAAAACGAAAGGACTTATTTGTCAACCCAATATATTAAAGTTGATTAAAAAAGTACCTTCTTCTTTGTCTTATCCTTTCATGCCATTCCTAACATGAGGAGCTTCAATCCAGTACAGCGATGCCCCTTGGTCTTGCCTAAGCTGCCTCATTTCTTGAAGGGTTTTTCCTCTCTTCCTTCCTATCTGCTATAATCCTGGTAGGAAATTCAGGGAGGGCCTCATGTTCTCCTCTCAGTGGGTTGTTTCAATTGCTTTCTGAGGTTCTGTCTCATCATTCATTCAATAAGCATGACCAAACAACTTTAACTGCCTATTGTCAAGCTAGTTCTACAACTCCACCATCTCAATTCCCTTATCCGTTTATTGCTAATTTATTCACTCTTGGTCTTGCCAACGGCTTTCCACAGGAATTTGATCCCAAGACCTGTTACCCAGCTGGTGTTCTGGGTGGGATTTTGATCAACAATGGCCTTAACGTTGCTTATTTCAATTTCATGTGGGCGGCCAGACCATTGAGCATCATTGATGTTAACATTTTCTGAATGAAATTTGGCAAACCATTTGTCCTACATAACCCAACTTTCACTCCTGTAAGTGAGGTTTGGAAGGTAAACACAAAGACTTGAATCTTTTAGTTTCCTTACCAACATCTCTGTGACCTACTATGCTATCGCATATAGGGAATAAACCTCATTGGCTTTGGAAATCCTATTTGCTACTTCTGGATATATCTTTCTCATCTTGATAATGACTGTCTCCAAATAGGTAAATTCCTGTACAACTTCAAGTACCTCTCCAATGCAGATCAACTGATGAAGTATATGTTGTCAAAAAGTTTTTTAAAACAAATATATGCACATAAAAAAATTCTTTCTATCTGTAGGAGATAAATAATACCTTACTTGGATACTGTTTCCTTACATAAGTAATTTGTTTTTACATAAATGGCTGGGAGCTGTAGTCACGGTGAAAAAATAAAAGATTTCATTTTTATGAAAATAATTTTTATTTATTATTATTACTTTTTTTTCTACAGCAACTGCAACCCCTAACCACCTTACCAACCAGTTTTTGGCATCCAGGGCGAAATTATATCAGGCAACCCCTCGAAATCAACCAGTAGTATATTGTCTCATGTTTTTGGGTTTGGTTTATTGTATTTTATTATACTTTTGCACTTCCACTCTCTACCGATAAATCTCTAGCCAGTTGTAGTTTTAATTTATCTAACAACGCAAGTGGAACTGAGGTTAAAAATAATTATTCCGCTAGTGGTGTATAATGATCTGTGCAAAGATGAAAAAGGAATGAATTAAAAAGTAGAAAGTGGATAGAAATAAAACTATTCAAAAGCATTATGCATTCTTTATATTTCTGTCCCTGGTTCAAGGCGTCTCCTAGGTCGGGGTGACCGGCCCACTCACTCTACCCGTCCGACGCCCCTGTTACCTACCATATTGAGTACGTTGCTGCGAAAAGTTTTAGTTTTATGCTTTTTTTTTTTTTTTTGTGAAGATCAGAAAGATATAGTACTACAGATCACTCCCTCTCTGAATAATTTATTCTATATTTGCGTTTATAAGTTAGCAGTTCTTCTCAGTTCCTTTTGTCGTATTTCGAGTGCTCAATTTAACAATTATGTGAGTAGTAAATCTGTGAATATGATTTAGTGAGGTGTCCCAGTAGTGAAATTATCTTTTAACAACATTCAATTAAAGTGAGTTTGTTTAAAGCAAATGGTGTATTTTCTTTTATTTAATTCAGATAAAAAGATACAAAACATAATTTCCTTCATTTAATCATAGAAACATAGTAAATTATTAATTCATTTATATCATTTTAGAATTTTAAAGTAGATCATAATAGGTATTATATTGTATTTTACTACAGTCTGTTGTAAAAAGATTCTAGATATCACTTCCAAGACCTTGAAAGTAATAGATTACTTTATAAAATATCTATAGATATTAGTACTTTCCATCTAATTTTGTGTTGGCAGTAAAAAAAAAATAAATGGAAAATTTCAATGTTCCATGTTCTCATTTCGGTACACTGAGTTCATCCAGTACAGTGAGAACAAATTTTAGATTTGATCCTCTTAGAACTGCATACCTCATTTTCTGATCATATGAATTAATTTTAATTTTAAACTCTTATCATTACTATTTGAAAATTAAATTACTTTTTTTATTTAATTTATTCCTTTTTTTTCTTATTTATTTTATTTGATTATTTGTTGATTGGTTAGTGAGATAAATGTCTAATCAAATTATGTTTTAATTTAGCTTGCAAAGCTGGAAAGCAGATATACAATGGCACAAGAAGAAATATGTTGTTTCAGGCATAGAGCTATTACTGCGGAGCAGGAATTGGAACACCTTCGAGAAATATGCATGAATGTAATAAAGATTTTCTATTGTACTTCCATTGTTTCTATAAGAAATTCTATTTATAATATCTGTATAAATATATTTTAATCCTTTCTGTTCTCATTTTCTGATTTCAAAAATAATAAAAAAATTATTCCTACATAGGTGATTGGAATAAAATTTTGCTTATTAATTAATGTATTGTATTGTAGTATAACTCGTGCATCAGATCTATCCTTCTTCTTTCTTGGAATGGGAGGATGAGGACAGCTTAAACAGCATTTAAGCCTCTTTTAGCAGCATCTTGAAATATTCTGTTCATCTACCTACTATATATTCGTTTAGCCATATAATGGATACTGATCCTTGTTTTCTTTTCTTAACAATTCCTTTCTCGTTCGCTTAATGTATTTTTCCAACTGTGGGGTTCAATTTCGTGTTTTCCCTTATTTGAGACCAAATACTAACAATCAGTTTCGGTTACCTAAAAGAAGTTATAGCTTTGCCCTTTCTATCTGTCTTTGTGTAGAGAGAATAATGCATTCAATATTAAAATAAAGGAACAAAATAAATTCATTTCCTGGTAAGTATATACAATTTAAATTACCTCCAAGAATCAGTAAATATATAAAACAAAGTGTTAAATTGCAAATGTTAAATAAAAAAGTTAAGATATTCAGCAAAGTATTTTAGAATGGATGTGTCGGGAAACGGTGTGGGGTTTGCCGTAAGGTTTCTTTTACCAGTAAGGTTTATTTTTCCACTACAGTTTTTATAACTCTATATTTAACCAAGTTGTTGTTAAGGAAAAGCGGGCAGTCAAATATCTTAGGAGGGGTTTGGGAAATCTTTTGAGGGAGGTTGAAGGCAGCTCTAATGCACACGAAACAAACACTATGGTAAGCGATATAGCACAATTAAAATGCATTGCAACGTTTTATATTTGAAAATCTTTAACATTAAAACGGTATTTTAAACTGCATATGCTGCTTTTACATCCAACTGATATTGTGTTTTTAATAAATATGTATAGTTTTACCTTATATTTTATAATGGTAGGTATATAAAACCACACGCGGATTTGAACTCATCTTTAAACCAAAATTTCAATGCAATCAGTGAAGAACTTTCCGAGATTTAAGATTTTGAAATTAATAAAAAATATTAATAATAAAATTAAACATAAAAATAATTAGTGGCTTCGTATCACAGATGGATCTCGTGTCATTTTCAGAAAACAGAAAAAGTCCATTTTTGTTAATCGGTTCAATTCATTTTATCTGTTCCTGATGATTTTATTTAAGGATATTCAAGTTGAACATGGAAAAAAAATCGTTAGAATTAGTTTTTATTGAAGCTTAATTAATTGATTAATCTTACAAATTTTTTTGTTCTCAACTTTTTAAAAATGACAGATATCCTTTGATATTAAGCCGCTCATATGTGTTCGAGGCTGGGTAAAGCTATTATACTATAAACCTCATCTTTTTTTATATATTCCTCTCCTTCAGCTAATATATCTAACAAGGGGAGATTACAGATATGGGGTCACCAATTTCAATGAAACTTTTTTTGGTGATACTAGGAAGAAAAATATTAGGCTCATTTCCGAGAGTTCTTGCCAACTCTTCTTGCGCCCTAGGAGTCGAGAAAAACAATATTATATTATTTTTTTATGTTATTGTCTTCTGACTTTGCTATGAATGAATTTATAAGTTATTATATATCAATTGATTTGTTTTGTTTTTTTGTGTAAAATAAGAATAACATATTGTTTATTGTATTAAATGAATTTTTATATATAATTACAAAAACCCATAGACAATTAGAGTAAAGTAGGCCAAGTATATTTTCCTGAAAAAATTATTCTGATTCGTTTTTAGGGTTCAAATAAAAAAGTATAAATTTTTGGACATCATTTTATTTGTGTTTATTTTATCAGTTTATTTGTGAAAGCTTGTTTATTGGTAGATAGCCAATAGAATTTCTGTACCTCGGAGGTAAATACCAGCATGCTCATTTTTGTATTTTTCAAGGAAGCCAATTTTCCATAATTTGTAACTATTAAGATTTATTTCTTAGTCACTAAATCCAGAGGTGCCCAAAAGGGAGTTTGATGGCGCAACTTACGCTTTCCAAATTTTTGATTGGATATATTTTGGTGTTTTTTAAATTTTTGAATGGAGTTATGAATTTCCGGAATTAAAATGTTCATACTGTTTGACAAGGAGAAAAAATGAAACAGACCGCAGAAAGTGTAGTTGTATATGATTTACGATTTTTCTAATTCTACCTTCGCTGTTTTTAAGAAAAGGCTAGCAATAAAATACCTTGGGAATGGTGGCATTGGTTCTAGCGCCATCGACCTTTGGGGAGATGGGCATCCCTGACTAAATCTGTACCTCGGTGATAAGGACAGCATGTCACATTTTTGTGTTTGTTCAGGGGAGCCAATTTTCCATAACTTTGCACTATTAAAATTTGTTTCACAGATTTAAACAAATGAAAGTCGGATAAGAATATATATGAGTTTATAACAATTATTTTCCTGTGTGCAACCCACTTCAGGAGTTAGCCCGTATCTCCTAATTTCCCCTATATACGTTTTTTTTTTTTTAATTATGGTTGATTAACACAGATCTTTATTGTAAACCCTCTTTGACTCTATGCAATATTTATTCTTTGCTGTACGCAACAAGAGTCTTTCTTTGTGGAATCTGGAAAAGTGGTTCCAAAGGTAGTTTTGGTCTATGTGTTGACACCAAGCAGACATTCTGGCGCTATGGAAAATCTAGGGCAGGACACAATTGTAAAGCTGTTACAATGCTTCTCTCTCCCAGTTAGCGTGACCTCTTTATCGGAGAAAATTCTTCGTCATATTGGATGGATTACTTTCATTTATGTGTTGTTTGGGTTGAAATGTACACTGATATGAACAGTTAAGAATAAGATTCTAGAACCCTCTTGACCTGCGTTATCCAGAAATCAATGGTCGAAACCATTGAAAACTCCATATTTTTTACTGATTTTCTGTAATTGTAATCGAATATTTTTTTATTGTGGATTTTGCTTTATTATTTTTAATAATCAACCTAAGCCAAGTTGTAACCTAAGTACAAGTTGGCAAAAAACATCTTATTTCATACTAAGGTTCGCCCTTAAAAAATTGACCATATCCACAGGCCTGATGAGAAAAATGTACGTCTGGCAGCATATAGCCGCAGATGAAGATAGATAGAGGCCATAAATAGGTAGAAAACTTTTATTTATAGAGGACTTATAGATATAGAAAGCTATCAAACCTTTAAATTTACATTATTTACTGTCCTAAGATAAGGAAATAATAGTCAGTTACCCCATACTTATGGATTTCAAGTCAAAAATTTGAATATAGGATTTAAAAAGTTCACTTTTTTCGGTTTTTCGCTTATATCTGTGAAACTATGATTTCCAGCCATAATTATTTGTTCTATGTAAAATTAAAGGTGACAAAATTTTAAATAGAAATATTTATATTCATTTCTTCACTATATTCTATAGTTTCCAAGATATCCGTTCTCGAAAATTACTACCTTTGAAAAAAAAATTTTCCTCGCATTTTTGTCACTATTTGACTCTATCATTCTTTATCTTTTCATTTTACTGAAAAGTCTTACGGGAAAAAGTTGTTTAACATTAAATTTCCTTTAAGAATGTGTGATATTAAAGTAATTTCTTATCGTCAACTATTCAAAAGCTTGAGAAATTATAACTTTACGCTTATACTCCAATACTATGCGGAAAAACTTACTTTTCGTTATTACTTTGAAAAAAATTTATCTATATTTATAAAAACGTAAATGTTCGTTTGTTCAAAACTGTTAATCTCTGAAACTTCTTCACCGATTGCTTTGAAATATTGACATAATGTCTCTATCGGATTCAGAAGTGTTTTTATATACATTTAATCACCTTTCGTTTCGGACCTGTGTCGCTATAGACTGTAGCGGCGCCTAAATAGCTGTAACGATTTTAATTTAACTTGGCCAAAGTCTTCTCCTGGAAGTCCTTTTAATTTATGTATTTTACATCTGAAAATAGTATGAAAAAAAAGTTACGATGGATTCAAAACTATATTTGCTAGAAAACATCTTGTGTGAATCTGTTATACTTTGTGTTTATCTTTGATTTTTGGAAGGACTATAGCAACAGAGATTGTCTATATTTTTAAGAAAATTACTAATGATGAAAAAAAAATATGTAGCTTTATATAAGAAACAACTTTTTATTTATTTACTTCTATGTGATAAGGGCAGGAGTGTTACATATGTAAGATAACTGTTTAGAAATGATAAACCATCTGCTGCGTTTTAAAAATGGAATTATCAACATATTGGTTTTATTCTTCAATTTTTTTTTTAAATTCAATGAATTGTATATTATACTATGTTCTTTATTTAAAATCTCTAAAACCATATCACAATCTTGAGGCAAAGCCTAAAAAGAGTACTATCAGTCTGATAATGCTTCAATGTAATTTACAAAAGTATAAGTTATTTTCTTTTCGAACGGAGGTCTGTTGTGCTCTTACCCGAACTTACTCGGCCATCAAGTTCTGCAAATAAGATGATAAATGGAAGTTGTGTGATGTGCACGCACCACTAGATTTTATCAAGGTGTACTTTAGGTTGATAAAAACAGATAATTATTGTTCAAACTTTTTTTCAAAAACTAGTTCGGGTAATTGATAATGTACTTCTAAATAACCGTACATCGTAGAATTGGGATCCATGGTTAAAAAAAAAATTTAAAAATGTATTCCCTTTGCAAGTGTGCCCCGAGATGTGTGTTCATCGCTCACAGGACTATAGATTCTGCGGAGTACCTTCCGCTCAAATAACGCTAAGGCTCGCTCGTCTCCTTGCGTCATGGTCCAGGCTTCAGAGCCGTACATCAGTACCGGACGAATGAGCGTTTTATAAAGCTGTGTCTTTGTACTGCGAGAGATGAGTTTAATTTTGAAATGCTTATTTAAGCAAAAATAGCACTTGTTTGCCGCTACTATTCTTCTCTTGATTTCTAGATTTCCTTTGTTTTCTCTATTTACCAGAGATCCCCGATATGCAAACTCATTAACTCTCTGGAACTTATAGTGCACGATCTCCAGGTGTTGTTCTCGGGCAGTAGCACTACCTCCGATACACATATATTTAGTTTTTGCTTCATTAACGACCAGTCCTAACCCTGCAGCTGCTGCTTCTAGTAGGACAAACGCTTCTTTCATAGCATTCATCGATCTGGCCATTATGTCAATGTCATCAGCATATTCAAGTATCTGTACAGTCTTATTGAATAGTGTACCAGTAGTCTGGATGCCAGAATCCTTCACAGCTTTTTCGAATGCCAGGTTAAATAAGAGGCATGCAAGAGCATCTCCTTGTCGCAGTCCTTTAGCTGTCATGAACCTCTGTGATAGGTCTCCCTGTACTTGGGCGACACACTCTACGCCCATCATGGTCATCCTGACGAGGTGGACCAGTTTTGGTGGTATGTTCATTCCAATCATTGCCCTGTATAACTGCTCTCTATCAATGCTATCATAAGCAACTCTAAAATCTATAAAGAGATGATGAGTTTTAACATTATATTCCATCGTTTTCTCCAGCAGCATTCTAAGGGTGAATATCTGATCAGTGGTCGATTTTCCTCTTCTGAATTCACACTGGTATTTGCCGATCTCTCGCTCTGCAAACGGCACAAGCCTCTGGAAGAGCACGTTTGATAGAACTTTGTAAGCACTGGAGAGCAGAGAAATGCCTCTACTGTTCAAAACTATATCGATATATCTGTGATATTTTATGCTTTTCTTAGGAAAAAATAAATAAAAACTTCCCAAACGTTTTTATTTTTTTTCTTCAAGCCTAAGTTATTTGCAGGATCCTGGTTTGTGCCATTTTGTGCATATTATATATCTCCCAAATTCATACTAATTTTCGTGTGGATAAATGGAGCCATGTCGAATTTTTTGTGATTTTCGAAAAAAAATTTAAGGCTGGAGCCTAGGCAGAAATTTTGAGCAAATATTTTTTCATTTTTCAATGCGCAAAATACAAATCTCAAATTTGTTTCTCCTTAAAAAATATTTGAACCTATTTTACTCTTTAGGTCAGTACTATTTGTTTCAATATTGAACATACACTATAGCTCTAAGTCAAATATATATTTTTTCTAAACCGGACGGATAAAAAATGCATGCACAAATTCTATTATTTTGTCGAGATTCAACCCAGAAATAAGAATAAAACATTTATTGTACATATTATACACATATAAACCATGAAATATTATCCCAAAAAAATATGATATTCATTTTACCCTAAAAACCCTTAAATAAGCATTTTGGTGTAATTGAAAAAAGTTAATTGTTTGCTCCATATTCTGTGTTTATAATGTATATGCAATTGAAAAATGTAAATTTTTTGCTCAATATTCTGCCATGTATTAATATCTCTTGTGAGATCCATCTATGTTAATAGCTTTATAGTTGATATTAGAAAAACAAAATATATTAACATATACATGTATTAAAGCTATTAAATATATATTTAAATATTAAAATAAATTTTCATTTTACATATAATTATTATTAGTTATATTTAAAGTGCATTTGATTTTTTTAGTTAACAAAAGATAAGTCAGAAGTATACAGAGACCTGACTATGTATCTTGAGTGTTCAGTATTGTCAAAATCAAAGTCTTCAGAAAATACAAAAATTCCAGTAAATATTTCAATTGACAACATCCATTTGATGCTGGTAAATATTTTTTATAAATTATATTGTATATTTGCAAATTATAAACTGTTAACTTTATGTAAATAAATATAATTATTTTTCTAATTCATGCATGAGTTTTTGTTTTATTTAATATAATAATGTGTCATTTATATGCTCTGTCACCATTGAGATGTCTGCTCGAATGGCTTTGCCTTCTCCGATATATCTTGGATATATATATTCTGTTCTGGAATATTTCACTTATTTTGTTACTGCAATGGACTTTTAACTATATTCATTTTATAATATTATCCTTCAATTTATGTCATTTTATAAATAATGAAAAATAAACATGTCTTTAAGGGAGTCAGTGGTTTGTTTTAAGATTCAATGGAGTTGGAACAGCTCCTTTAAAATAAGGGGATTGTGGAACACTTAAAATGTTAAATAGCTAGCAACTGCACAAAGTTCTGTTAATCAGCTGTGTGGTTTTATAGTTGTTATATTTATGTCAGACTGAATAGTGTCTTAAGTCATCTAAATGGTTATTCATTAATTTAAATTTGTTGGATTAGCAATTAGTCCATGTCAAAGCAGTAATTTTTATATCAGTAAAGTTATTTTACCCTTATTGTGTTAATTACTTTAGCTGTTAAATTTTACTATTTGATTAAAAATCATAAATTAGAGACATTTAATTATTTCAAATAAACTAAATTAAAAGTATTTTAGAGAAAGGCATTTTGAAAAGTCAACATTTAAGCCCTTTTTGGCTACCACAATGAGGATGCAACTTATCTGATATTAAAGGCCAATTGATTATAAAGTAACTTATTATAAATCAAATTGATGTTAAATATAGTTAAGATAAATTAAAAAGTAAAGTTAGGTAATTTATTGATCTGTGTAAAAAGTATTGATACACTATCGTTTGAAGTGATATTTTTTAAATATTTATATTTTGAAATACCAGACTTTGTTAATAAATATAAAGTATTTTATTAATTCATTTAATTCAAAGTATCTCATGTCAAAAAAGAAACTAACTAAAAGCTTTGTAATGATTTCGTGCAATTATTTTATTAGTACTTTAAGGAGACCGAATTTTAAATCATACATTTTTTAATCTGCCTGCAAATCTCAGGTTATTTTATGATAAATTCCATCTTAATTAATATGAACTTAAAGCTTAGTAAAGAAGGAAATTTTTTTAGAAGTGAGGTATCTGTAGCCCAGTAGGAAGCTGATAAAAAAAAAAAAAATCATAATTTTTGTTTTTAAAACATCATAATTTTGAAAAAAAAAAAAAAAAGATTGACCCACACGTATATGTAATTTTTTTTTCTTTCTCCTTTGTAGTAACCCTACTGAAGAGGTTTATATTTCACAAAAAAAGTGTGCATTCACTGTGCAAAAGCATATAAAATGCATTAAATTGTTAGAACAATTTTTATGAGGAAATAGATACAAAATATATTCATTTACATTATTGAATTAGTTTATAGAAATAAATCAAAAAATGTAACAGGAACAGTACTTCTGATGTATTAAAAAAGAGAAAATAAAATTAATAAAACAAGCATATAGAAATAAATACACTAGTAAGTAATACTGTATAAATAAACTTAAAATCTTAAAATTATAAATCTGGTGTGGTTGGTAACCACATGCATCACACTGCTTCCACTTACCAACCTTAAAGTAGGTATAATAATAATAATAAAAGGCTTAGCGAACCCGAAGGTTCGATGCTGACACCACCAATCTCTTACTACACATTTCTCTCCACTTTTCGCCGTCCAATCCCTTCAGATCGGACGTTTACCATATGGTACAGCAAATAATACCCTTTTAGGAATTCTTTAAATTTATACATTTACATCACTTTACATTTCCTTTTATGACTGTGTATAGTACCAAACAAAATTAATAATTGTGGGGAAAATTCTGAGTTTTATTGGAAACATTTATCATGAAACTCGTTGAAAAAATAACTTAACATTAATAAAGATGTATATTTTTATATTTCATTTTAATAGTTAATTATTTCAAATACAAAAAAATTAAAGGTACTTGATAGGAAGAAATTATGAAAATTAGGCATATAAACTCTGTTAGTGAACATCCATGAGAATAAGACCTGCATTATATTAAAACTACTTAATTTTACACTGATTTAATGAATTTAATCAAAATCGTTAGAGCCTTTTTTTAGCAGGCTAATTGTAAAAATGTTTAAAATCTATGATATAAAGAAGCAACTTCAGGTTAGCTAATTTTAATGAAAAAAGTTGCTATAACATCCAAGTCATGTACAAACCTTAAATACACCATTTTAGTTGCGTATAACTTTTCGTTTTTGAGCTAGACTATTCAAATACATAAACAGATCATTTTGCGGGACTTGGTTATTTGGTTGATTCAGAGGACCTCAAAACATGAATTTCTATTGAAAACTCATTCAAAAATTTTCAAAACCACAATACTTTCCCTTACTATATATTACATATATAGATAAGTGAAAGTAAAAATAAATTATATATATGTATATGATAAGATATTTTATGTACAGAAACATTTAGAAGAAGAAAAAAAAGTTGAAGAGGAGAAAAACAGACGACTTGTTCAGCACTTGGAAGAAGTTTTGATTACTAACCAAAACATGATTACTGAACGGGAAGCATTAATAGCTCAAAACATAGCTGATGTAAGAAAGCTTCAAGAGGACACAATATGTTGGAAAGAAAGGTGGGTATATCTGTTTATTTCCCATTTATTGTTTGCATTAATATACTTTAAACCTATCCCTTCTAAAAATGAATTTTCATTTACTTAGAAGTCAGCAATAGTTATAATTTATTTTATTTTATTACATTATGTTATATGATAATATGTTATTTTCCTATGATCTAATTCATATTCATTATTTTATATTTTAATTTTACTATTTGTACATCAATACATATACTTGAGAACCTTAAAAATTATTAACCAAAAGCATAATACAAGAATTAAAAAATAAAATACTCTATAGTTTATATTTTTCAAAACAACAAGATTAAACTGTACACTAAATTTTCATGAAGTTATACAAACAAATTGTTATTTTATTTAATCTGTTAGATATGAGGATTGTGCTGCCAAGCTAGAAATGATGGATAAAAAGCAAGACCCCCGATTGCTTGAAGCTCAAGACACTATTGCTACACTTAAACGAACAATTGCTATATTACAACAAGAAAAAACAGCTCATCCAAAATATTATGTAAGTATAAATGTTTTTCTGAAGTTTTTGTAATAAAGTGAATTAATTTTATAGATATTTTTAAAAATTATAATTCTTATTTAAATAGGTTTAAGGCCATTACTTATTCCCATTAGTGCCGAAATGGCAGATTGTTCTTCAGCCCTTCCAACCTACTTTAGATTGGGTTTTTTAGGTATGTTTTTATTTTAAAGAGTTGCCATTAAATAAAAGTCAACTCTTACACACAGGAAGAAAACTTATACCTAAGTGCAGCTTCACTACACTACTGCTAAAGCATCATGTTTTAAGTTTTTAAAAATATTGATGAACACTGTCTTCAGTAAAACTGAAACATTCTAATGTAAATCTATTTCAAAAGAGCATCATCTCCAAGTTACTGCCGTTATGAAACTAAAAACAGTTGCAAACTATGGGAACATTCTTAACCATTTTAATATGTCTTGTATTTTTATCACTTTTTCTACATAAATACAGTACGACTTCAGTTTATAAAACTGGAATGGCTTAAATGCCTTCCCATGGCCATTCTCACATGTAAAATCCTTATGATCTTTCTATGTATATAAGACTGTGGATTGGTCCTTAACAGTTTTTCTGCTGAGTTAATCATTCTCTACTTGTCTTTCGAAGTGTAAATATTCAGTGCTTTACTTTTCCTTTTTTATAATACTTAAACTTGTGCAGATATGTGAACATTTTACTCCTTAAACTCATCACCATTACTAATAATTAGGGTAAGTGCACCAGTGATGGACATAGCTAAGGAAATTTTTGTCTTTTTTGGCTTATGCCTATGGAGCGGGGTAGCTCAGTGGTAGGGCACTAAGCTTTCAATGCTGAAGGTCCCAGGTTCGAATCCCGGCTCATGGCAGACAATTTATTTATTCTGTTTCACTGGCTGTGGGGCGACCCTGGGATAGCGAGACCCTCTTGAGGTATACCCAGCCTCTTCAAAGTAGGTACCTTTAATTAAATAATTGATTAAGGGGGAAAACCTGGCGGTTGAGCATGATCATGGCCTGATCCCCTCCTTGTATAACCGTTGGCCTTGAAACAGTACTTTCTCTAAATAGTACTGAACCCAAGACCCTTCATGGGTTGTAGTGGTACAGGACTTTTTTTTTGGCTTATGCTGCCGTAATTATTATAGTTATAAACTTCTCCGTAGGACATTTAGAATCTCTAGGATCTCCTTTTTCTATTTAGCACTTTAAGATTGAAAACATATTCAGTTATGCAGGTACAATCTCCATTTAAAAAAGAAAACACCTTTTGTGCACTAGTGATGGACAGATATCTCAAATTTCAATTGTTCTAGTAATGGACAAGGGGTTGCTACCAATAATGGACATACCTTAAAAAGTTCTAAACATTTTTTTATCTATAAAGATAAGATAAGATAAATGTTCAACTTACTCTAAGAAAATCTTAGTAGGAAGGTATGAAAGGCACTGATCTCAAGAGCACTATTGTAGAAACAACAATGATAGGCCTTTCAAAATTTTCTTTTGGGAACTGTTCACACAATTGTCAATAGAGGGCATCGTTCTTCATTCTAGAAAAAAATGGAACCTTTAAATCAAGAAGGAAGCTTATTATTTACAATTAAAATCCAACCTGTCCATCACTGGGCCCCCTTTCCATAACTGGTGCGTGCACTCTCCCTGATATTTTTTTTTTTTGTTTGGTATCTTATAAATTTATAGCTATATCATCAAAAATTATAATTTAAAATTAAAAAAAAATAAAAAATTAATTTTGGCCGTTAGACTTTATTTTATTAGTCAAAACCTAAACATCTTTATAATAGTTAATGTTTTGGGGAATAATTTTCATATTTTCTTAAGATCTTATTAACAATATACAGTAATCTCCTCTTTTTTGTCATCAATTGAATTATTATCTCTACCAGTGTTTCAACTGCCTCCTGCCAGAGATGGGCAAAATCGTAATCAATGATTACATGATTACAACTGAAAATAAAACTTTATGACCACGCCAATTTTATACTTGATACAGTAGCACTATAATTTGGGAAAAGTATGAAACGATTACCTGATTACATGATTACAATCGTAATCATAAACCTGATTACGATTACAATCATGTAATCACGTAATCAAAATCAATGTAATCGTAATTATGTAATCGAACTCACTGTATTCATAATCAAGTAATCAAAATCACTGTAATCGTAATCACATAATCATAATCGTGTAATCATAATCAAATGCACACGATTTTCCTATGTTTAGAAATAGACTAAAAGAAAAACTAGTATAAAACATTTTCTATTTTCTTTTAATTTCCGGGACCACTTTCTATGATAATACCGTCATTTTACCGATTAACATTTTCCTAATTTTCATTCCCTTTTCATCTTTTATCTCATGAATGAAGGGTCAGGTGTTTACCGTTCCAACACTTTTCGGCTATGTAGAGATAAGTGGACATGGGAAATTGATGTAGGCAAATATGGAGAATTAAAGTAGAAATTTTTTTGAATTTTCATTAGCTTTTCCTCTTTTATCTCGTGAATGGAGTCTCGGTTTTTCACCATTCCAACAATTTTTCGGCTATGTAGAGGTAAAGGAAAATGAGGAAATTTTGAAGAAAATTTTCCAATTTTCATTCACTTTTCCTAAGATAAAAGATTTAGAGATTTAGATAAAAGAGGAAAAGTGATTGGAAATTCAGGAAATTTTCTACACCCTTTCTCCGTTTTTTTCTACATCTATATAGTCGGAAATGTGTTGGTGAAAAACCGAGCATCCATTCACGAGATAAAATGGGAAAAGCGAATGGAAATTCGGAAATTTTTTTCACCATTTCTCCGTTCTTGCCTATTGCCTCCCACCACATAGCCGGGAAACTGTTGAAACGATGAAAAACCTGATCCTTCATTTTCGAGATAAAACAGGAAAAGTAAATGAAAATTCAGCAAATTTGTACCACTCTCATTTCCATTGGCTTTCCTCTAAACAGTTATAAAATGGTTGGAACGGTGAAAAACCGAGACTCCATTCACAAGATAAAAGGGGAAAAGCAAATAGAAATCCGGAAAATTTTCTACATTAATTCTCTATTTTCGCCTACATCTACATAGTCGGCAAACTATTGGAGCGGAGAAAAACATGCAAAAAACATGCATACAGGAGATAAAAGAGGAAAAGTGAGTTGAAATTCGGAAAAATATCTACACTAATTCTCCATTTTCGCCTACATCAATATAGCCGGAAAAGTGTTGGAACGGTGAAAAACCAAGCATCGATTAACATGATAAAAGAAGAAAAGTGAATGGAAATCCGGAAAATGTTAAATGTTAACCGACGTTATTAACAAATAAGGTACTCTCGGCAGCTAAAGAAAATAGAAAATGTTTTATTCTTGTTTTTCTTTTAGTCTATTTCTAAACAAAGGAAAATCTTGTGTATTTGATTTTTTGATTACGATTACGCGATTATGATTAGGTGATTACGATTACAGTGATTTTGATTACAATGATTATAATTACATAATTATGATTACGTGATTACGCGATTATAATCAAAATCAAAAACCGTGATTACGATTACAATCGTGTAATCAAATAATTGTAATCTTTTTATCAATCAATCAAAACGTCGGCAAAAATTAAATAATTAATATATTTTAATTTAATATTTATTTGACCGCACCCCCCCGATTAACTCCTTCTCATATTATCTCTAACAATGTAGTGTAATCACAGCACAAGATGTGGTAGTGATACCGCTGAAAAAAATACTGAAATGGAAATAATATAATAATAAAACATCATAACTGTTATGATTTGCTGCCAAAACCATGAAATAAAGGAACTTCACAATATTTTTACTTGTCCATTATAAATTATAAAAATACTAACTACTAACTAAAAAAAATGTATTTTATGTTTTATCATCTCAGCAATAAGATTGATTAAGAGATGCAGTGGAATCATCTAGTGTCACACGTTTCACAAGTAGAAGTACAAAATTGGATTTGTATTTTCAAGGCAAGAGTAAAAATTGTGAACTTAAGTATTAATTATCAATAATTAATATTAATAGGTTTTATAAATGAAAGGCTCTCTACCCATTGCTAATTTTTTATTTTTGTCCCTTTAGTCTAACGTTTCAGATTTTAGATCCATTTAAAAGATAATTTATTCTAGTAGTTGAATCTCATTTTTATAATAAAAATATCATCAAATTTTCATTGTTATACAATGCATGTTAAAGATGATGGGGAATAAAATAAATATAATGTCATTATAAATATAATAATAACTGTATATGGTGTACAATGTTATAACATATTACCTGGCTATAAATTTGGTTTTATTAACTGTATTATTATCCCTAGAACAACAGACCAAAGTACATCTTCAGTTCTAACTGATATTGGAGAAATGGAAGTAATTAAAGAAAAGGTTAAATAAAGTATATAGGGTTATATTTTCGAGTAAATACATTTTCTGTTTTATATTGAAGAAAATCTTTATAATTTTCCATTTCTTTTCCTTGATTCAATTTTTTACTAAAGTAAAATAAGATTTTTTTATTTTTTATTTTAGGATGTTTCAACTAGCACTGCCTCTCCCAGAAAGTTTTTGGGTTCAACAGATTCTGATGGTATTGATAAATCTTGTTCAGAAATAGCTCTGGGAGCTTTACAAAATGAACTTAGTGCATGTAGGAAGTTGTTAGAAACCTATGCTGTGGAAAAAAGTGAAAATAAGAAAAATAGTGAATGCAGTAAGGTACTAATAATTTTTAACCACTCATTAAGATTTTAAAAAGTTTTAATATATAAATAAAGAGATAAGCTAAAAAACATTAGTACCCGGAAATAATACATTTCAGTTGAATAAAGGGTATTTCTTCACTAGCAGGCCGGGACTGACTGCTATCTGCTAATGTTTATAACCTGAACACTGATAATTCCGATAAGGCAGTGATAAGCCTTCTCGTAATTCCTATCTTTGTATTATTGTATTATATTCATATTATTGAAAGTGTAAACAGAAACAAAAACAAATGTAATAACAAAAAAAAAAAGCAGATCGGGAGACTTTGGTAGTGAAGTAGGCCAGTAAGTAGGTTGAGATGGCGAAATTACAGAAAATTTCAAATCTTCGATACATTTTTGTAGTCTTTTTCCACGAGTATTGGACACTCTAGAGCCCCGCCTTGTGTTTTTAGTATTAAAATCTCCTCCTACAATGAATGATTTTGCCATTGTCGAGAAAATAGTCTTTGATTCATTCGTGGATATAACTTTATTGGGAGCTATATAGCCTGAGGCAATCGTGAGTTGGAATTTTGAGGAGTTCAGGGAAATATTGGTGTATTGTAGGGAATTCGTAGAAACAGTAGGAAGAATATGGTGATTTAAGGATTTGTCCCCAATAATTGCAGTTCCTCCATGTGCTGTGTGGTCTGGATGGTCAGTTCTGTAAGTTTCGTAATCTTGTAGCTTGAATGTTTGTTTGTCTGTTAAATGAGTTTCAGTAATCAGAGCTATGTTTATGTCATGTTCTTTTAAACAAATTTCCAGTTCATTTTTTCGTTGGAGCAGGCCATTGGAGTTCCATAGGAGTATTCTAAGAGAAGGTGACTTTGAATTAGTCATTGAAAGGATTTGAAATGAAAGTAGAAACTAGTTTAGTTAGAAGTTCTAGAATAGCATATAAAAGTGATTTAAGTTCAGTTAGAAGAGGTTCCATAGAAGATTTTATAGCTGAAGAAAAATCAAAAGCTGAAGAAGGAGGTTTGATAGAAGCTGTAGAAGGATATCTCCCTGTTACCTTAGCACAGGAGACCCCTGCCACCGTAGATGGTTTATCACAACTCTGTGGTGTTAGACCTTTCCCTTCTAATTTTTAACTGATTTAACGTGTTCTTCTTTTGTTTCTAGTGATATTACTTTGGCTGTTGAAGGATCCATTATATTTGGAGTCTGTGAAGAGAGGGGATCTATCTCTAAACCTGATCCAGAGGTTATATGGTTGAAAAATGGTTTGTTTTTTAGATATATTAGTTTTTTGAATGTAGCACATCCTTTGTAATTGGCAGAGTGAGCACCTTCGCAGTTAGCGCAAGTGGCGGGCATTTCTCTAGGTTTTGTACTGTTTGCTGTGAGGTGTGGTCCAGCGCACTTCACACATTTGGCGGACGGAAAGACTACAGTACCCTTTTGTGTGGCCATAGGTTTGGCATATTTGACACTGTGGCAGTTCCTTTCTTAAGTATGGTTCTTCTACTTTTATTCTAGTATAAAATAAAAATTCTAGGTCAAAAATTTCTTGATTTGTTGGATTTTGTTCCAAATCTATAAAAAATATCGGTAGTGGCACTTTTGTTTTAGGGTGTTTTGCGTTATTAATATTTTTTACACTGTATTCTAGTTCTTCGAGTTTGAATTTGATATCTTCAATTTCTGTAGTGTGATGAAGATTTCGAATGACAATACGAAATGGTTTTTCATTCTGAAATTGATATGTGTAGAATGTTTCATTTTGTGCTTTTAATAGTTTTATTATTTTTCGATAATCATCTGGAGTAGATGGAAATATTTTTGTCTCATTTGTGTTAGAAAGACAAGAAAATCCGCGAGGTCCGACTTCTGTTGATAAATGTTGACATAATTCTTTGATTTTTTTAACTGATTTTAAATTAATAGAAGGGGGATTTAGGAATATTGTTAGTTGACAATTTGTCCTGAGTGTTAGACGACATAGGAACGGGTTGAAGTGCAATTTCTTTAGGTGAAGTAGCATTTGTTTGTTTAGGTAATTCATTGGATGGGATAACATTTGTTGTTTTTGTGATAGAGGATAAGTTAGATTTCTGGTTAGTCCCTCTACTACGTGTAGACGCTTCTGTTTTGTCTTGCTTAAAAAGATTTATGAAGGCAGGAGTTCGTTTTCTATTAGTTACAACTTTAGGTTTTTGAGTTTTTGTCATCCTGCAAGTCTATATGTGACTCGCTATTTGAGGGCTGAACTTTTTTATACCAAGTAGTTCGTTCTTTTCTTACTAACCTGACAAAAAATTACTAACCTTCTTTTTTCGAAGAGGGGGTATTTCTTTCCGGATCAACTTTTAAAGTTGTTCTTTTTGTTTTCTAGTACTTCTTGCTTTCAATATTTTTGTCTAGAAATCGATCGATATCGAGTTATTTCAATTTTAAAGTATCAACAAGAATCAACAATGACCACAAACTAGATTCACAGTACCACTACCTGGAAAAAAGGGCAGAGCCAGCTCAAATGCCAAAACAAAGAAGACCAGATATCCCACTGAAAGCATACTAGGACCCATACGAACCATAATCTCAAAGAACAAAAGTATTTACCCCCTCACTTACGAAAAGATATGCCTATTACTCGACATGACTCAGGGAGAAAATGAATCAAACGCTACTGATATCATGTCTCAGTTTACTAACAACGTAAACGATCTGAAAACAACGCTCTCAGATATCAGAGACACAGTATCACATAGAGGGCTAAAAATAAGAACCTCAAAACTAATTAAGATTTTGAATGAACACTCCTTGAACAATACCGAGCCTTTAAAAATAACACATGGTGATAACAATAATCTGGGAAATAAACAACACTTTGCCAATCAAAATGAAAACAATCATTCAATGGAATTGTAACCGATTTTTCCGACATTTAGAGTACCTAAAAATTCTAATAAGCTAAGAGAACCCTATACTATTTTGTCTCCAAGAAACACACCTCAAAGAAACACAAACAGTGAGATATAAAGATTACGATATATACCGAAAAGACAGAACAGGAACCTCAAAATCATGGGGAGGAGTCGCAACTTTTGTTAGAAATGACATCTTTGCTGAAGTGCTCTCTCTTAACACAAACTTCGAAGCAATAGCGGTAAAAATTTACCAAAACGAGCCACTTCCTGTCTGTAACATTTACATGCCACCACCAGAACCGTTTGCTACACATGATATTCAGCATATTGTTAGTCAGCTACCCAGACCCTACCTGTTATTAGGTGACTTTAATGCCAATGATATAGCTTGGGGTTCAACACTAGCTGACAATGGCCACAGAGGGAAAAAATTAAAAAAACTTTTAGAGAACAGCCCTACAACCACACTTCTTAACACGGGAGAAAATACTCATTTTTGCTCCAAAAGCAACAATTTTTCATCAATCGATCTTAGCTTCAGCGATGTTCGACTGGCCCCAAAAATTAGATGGGAAACGAAATCGGATCTATATGGAAGCGACCATTTCCCAATCACCATGAAAATGAAGCACGAGACTCCAACACAAATGAGGAACCGTCACTGGCAATACCAGAAAGCAGATTGGACAGCGTATCGTGAAAAAATAAGAAAACAAATTGAGTTCTTTCCTGCAGATCTCGACAATATCGACCACAGCGCCACCGTTATTAGCGACGTAATAACATAAGCAGCTCATGGAACTATTCCTCTTACAGTTAATAAACTATCTCATACAAGAGTACCATGGTGGAATGAAAAATGTCAAAACGCCGTGAAAGCGAAGAAACGTGCCCTCAACAAATTTAGAAAAACAAGAAATGTGCTTGATGCAATTGAATTTAAAAGATTGAGAGCCATAGCGAACAGAACCATAAAAGAAAGCAAAAGATCGTCATGGAAAGACTTTGTATCTTCAATTAATCAAAACACCTCAATGAAGGAGCTCTGGAATAAAGTGAAAAGCGTTAAGGGGATCCCCAAAACAAAGAAATTGCCTGGTATAAAGAGTGGACAAGACATTATAACTGACCCTGACGACATCGCAGAAAAATTGGCAGAACACTTTTATCAAGTATCCTCTATTATTACCCAAACCCCTATAAGCTGTAAAAATATGCCAGATCATGGAAACTTAGGCCATGAAGAAAACTACAATATCCCCATCGGGATACATGAACTCGAATATTTTCTACGGAAATGCTCAATAGTGACGGAATCTCATATGTGATGCTATATAATCTACCTGACGAAGGGAAACAGATACTATTGCGACTGTACAACCGAATTTGGGATACTGGCTATCTGCCACAAACATGGAGGCATTCCTTGATAGTGCCCATACAAAAAAAAAGAAAAAAGTTGTCTTATAGCAGACTTCCGCCCAATATCACTTCTCTTATGTGTGAGCAAACTGCAAGAAAAAATGGTAAATCAGAGAATGACTGAAGTAATAAAAAAGAGAGAGCTGCTCACTCCGTACCAATTTGGTTTCAGGGAAGACCACACCGCAATTGACCACGTCCAAATACTGAAATGGGAAGCCCAACAAGCATTCCAAAAGAAGCCACACCTCATTGCCATATTCCTGGATGTCGAGAAAGCCTACGACACGCTGTGGAGATGGTGAGTCTTAGACATACTAAGAAGATGGCACATCAAAGGAAAATTATGGAAGTACATAAAGAATTTCCTAAAAAATAGAACATTTAGTGTCAAAGTCGGAACTTCAGAATCCTCTATCTACAACATGGAGAATGGCACTCCTCAAGGATCCCCACTCAGCGTGACCCTCTTTCAGATCGCAGTAAATGACATAGCGGATGTATTTGTCAAGCCTGCAAAAACCATTTTGTACGCAGATGACATAATGCTGCTCATTCGAAGTAAATCAATAGAATTCCTAAAGTGGAAGACGCAAGAAGCACTAGAAAACATAGAAAAATGGTCAACAGAGAGTGGGTTTAAATTATCTGTTTGCAAAACTAGAGCCATACACTTTTGCAGATTAAGAGGGTGCAAACTAAATCCAAAAATACGGATGGGTGGTGCTGAAATTCCATTCGTTAACAGCCTAAAATATTTGGGAATGGATTTAGATCGCCCGCTTAGATGGACAATTCATATAAAACTGCTTAAAGAAGAGTGCCTCAAAAGAGTTGCCCTACTAAAATGCCTTTCTCATACGACTTGGGGAGCAGATAGGAAAAGCCTATTGAAAGTATTAGAAGCAAATTGGACTACGGCTCAAGCGTTTACGGCTCTGCTGCAAGCAAAACTTTAAGAATGTTGGACGTGGTACACAACTCTGCATTAAGAATTTGTACAGGTGCATTGCCAACCTCTCCTGTGGAAAGCCTATATGCAGAAGTTGGTGAACCTCCTCTAACCTTCAGAAGATTATACATTACAACGAAGTATGGTCTCAAAATCAAGACTAACCCAAGACACATACTAAATAAGATATTATTCTGTAGTGAGGAAACAGGTAACATCAGGGAGAAAAACTTTGTAGAAACACTTCTTGAGCATTTTTCGGATCTAAACATTGAAAATGCTCTGGATGTGCCGGATATAATAATTCCCAGATGGACCAATGTCAAACCAATTATAGATACCTCAATTTCCAGACATAAAAAGGATACGGCACTTCCAGTTGAAGTTCAAAAATTATTTTTAGAAACTTTGGAAAAATATAAGGAGTGTCATTTCTTGTGTACGGATGCCTCAAGGGTTGATAAGTAGGGTGTTCCGTTATAAATTTTAATACTCAAAAACTTTTCAAAATTCCGTAGGCTTGTTCAGTGTTTACTGGTGAAATGCTAGCAATTAGAGAAGCTCTTAAACACATAGAGACAAGTGAAACTACCAATTGGGCAGTGGTGACAGACTCTATGAGTTCATTACTAGCTATTGAACATAACAGGCCCAAATCCTCTCTCGCAAAAGATGTAAGAAGCGTTTGGTGGCTACTAAGGGAGAAGGGCAAAGAAGTAATGTTCATTTGGGTCCCTTCGCATTGCGGGATCATCGGTAATGAACAAGCTGATCAAGCAGCCAACATGGCAAGAAAGCCAAATACAACATCCGTTGAATCAATTAATGAAATCCCTCTAGAGGATTACGTTATAAAAATTAAGGAGAATGTGTGGAACATGTGGCAAAACAAGTGGGGACAAGGAGAATCGAAATTAAACCTCACTGTTTAAAATGGGAAACCTCGCACCGACCATCTCGAAAAGAGGAGACAGCCCTTTGCAGACTGCGAATTGGACATTGTGAGTTCTCGCACTCCTACCTACTAAGAGGACTTAATCCTCCGACCTGCAAGAACTGCAATGTCCAAAGGACAGTAAAGCACATTATTCAAGAATGCCCTACATTTGATCCTACAAGGAAAAAGTTAGACATGGCACAGAGTCTACAAGACCATGAAAGTGCAGTAAAAAAAACTTTAAGGTTCTTAAAAGTGATAAAATTCTACAACAGAGTGTAATTCAAAGGTGTTGCCAATGACCCTTCAGGGTAGAGGCAACAAAAAAAATCAAATAAATAAATTTTAAAGTTATTTCAATATAGATTGAATTTTTAAAGTTATTTACTTTTTCAATCGGTCATATCTTTTTTTAATACTTATTTTTCATTTTGACTGTTAAACTGTTTACTACATTCTTGGATTGGAAAAATTGCTAGACATTTTCTATTGATATTATTATTTTTTTAGGTTAGTGACATAGAACAAAAATTGAAAATAGAAATAGCCAAAAGGGAAATATTGGAAAATCAAGTAAAAAGGCTGCTAAGTGAAGTACAGGTAAATTTGTTTCTGTCTGACACAAAAAAAATAATCTTACTTTTTACCTATTTCTGCAAAGTATATCTAAAAATATTTATAAATGTAATTATTATTTATCTATGGTATAATATTTATATTAATGTAATTAATTGAAAATGGAATAGGTGAATAACACTCCTAAATGTTATTTATTCTAGAATTTAAGAGGGTTGTCTAGAAAGATTGATTTATGGTCTCAACATGAAGGCCACTTGTGTGCTAAGTAGCTGCTTCGCACACCTCAGTGTTTGCAATAGATAGAGATAGTCCTTAAAGTTTTTACTGAATTTGACAATAGTGATAAATTTATTAACCAGGTTGTAACAAGAAATTAAACATTAATTTCATACAAAATACCAGAATCCAAGCCACAGTCTATGTCCACAACTTCTCAATACAATAAAATTGATGGCAACAGTTTTTTTTTTAACCAAAGGGGTTTAATACTCGTGGTGTTTATTCCAAGAGAAGAAACAGTAAACTCAGTAGACTATTTTGAAACTTTTTAACAACAAAGATCATGTTATCGAAAATAAGAGACATGAAAAGCTGTCTGAAAAGTGATTCATAACATAGTTTGACCTCATTCAGCTGCTTAAACATAGGAAGACTTTATTTTCATTATTAATTTTCACTTATTTTGGAAATCAAAGGAATTTGCAGATGGAAAAGAGTTCACAAATGATGAAGATCTCAAAGGGACAGTGACATCCTGGCAGTAGAAGAGTATTGAAAACTGTTAGCTTACAATTAATACCTTAATAGCAATGGCAGTGATGTTGGGAAATAAATTGAGGTGCTGTAATTTTGTAAATAAAGTTTTTTTTTTAGTTAAACCAAACTTTTATTTAGTTTGTGTACAATCCTCATTGATTTATTTTTTGTAAACGATTTATTAAAGATTTAAATAATGTTATTTTGATCCATTGGATAGATCTTTAATTTTACTAAAAGTTGTGCAAAGAGATGAGATGAGCTGGCCAGGATCACTCTCAACCATCAGGATTTTCTATTCCAACCCAACCAATTATACAATCAAGTAGCCTCTGTATAAAGGCTGTCATACTTAACCCTCTCATGGCATACTTAACCCAAATGCATGATTCATTATTGATAAACAAAATAAAATATTTACTAATTGCTTGAAATTAGGAATCAACTTTTAAGAGTTCATAGCCTAATACTGATTTACTCCCCCTCCCCTTCTATTGTTTTGCGGTGAGTGAATTGTTGAGTTTATTATGACACCATTTCACACAGAACTCTGTTTTTACAATTGGTTAAAAAAACATCTATTTGAAAGTTTGGTATTTGTCTTTACAATTGGTTTTAAAAAAACCTCTATTTGAAAGTTAGGTATTGTAAATTTCTTTGTTCTCCTTTTAAGTTTTAACCTCCAGTAAAATGAACTTTGGTAGTTTTTCAAAATATTTCCAAACTGTTGGAAAAGCCTGAGGGCTTTGAAAATGTCAGAGATCTCCAACAAATGCTACATGATTAGCGGATCCAGCCGGAGGGAGGGAGGGGAGGGCGCAGCACCACCTCCTGGAGGTTGGAAAAAAGTTCCAAAAAGCAGCTATTTAAAGAAAAGATAAATATAGGAAAAATTCATCCTCATAGACGATGAATTTCCTAATATAATACAAAAAAATAAATATTATCATGACCAGTACTAGCGAATTGTATACGGGGGCGTGCCCATCCTTGAATGGTGGAAAAAAATATTTAAAAAAAAAACACCTATTTAAAGAAAACAGAAATGTAGGGAAAATTCATCCTCATGCACAAATTTCCTAATGAAATAAAAAAAAAATTTATCGTGACCAGCACTAGCGAATTCTGATAGGCGGCGCTCTCTTCCTTGGATGGTGAAAAAAAAATTCCAAAAAACATCTAGTTAAAGAAAAGAGAAATGTAGAAAAAAAATCATCCTCATAGATGAATTTTCTATTGTAATAAAAAAAGTTATTGTCAAAAAAAGGTAGTGTAAAAATAAGTTATTATCGTGACCAACTCTAGTGATATCTGCCAGAGATCTCCGCCAGTCTCCCTCTGGATGTTAGAAAAATAATTTAAAAAAAAAAGATCCAGAAAAACATCTATTTAAAGAAAAGAGGTTTTGGACTTCCATGAGATGCGAATGCCTTTCGCAGTTTGTTCCTATTGACTCCGAACTGAGTCTTGCAGGTGAAATAAATGATGGAGGAAAATTTATTAAAAAAAAGAACTTCATTTATTCTTTCAATAATCACCCTTTATTCGAGCACAAGAAAATATGGGTTTTCTTCTGGACCCAGTTTTTATTCAGTTTCAATAAATCTGGATGCATTGCAATCTTCAGCAACTATAGTCTACTTGAGGAATCCATGTAATTCATAAAACTGGTCAAGATAATAATTGATATATTTCTCATTAGAATAGGTGTTGTCGGGAACGTCTTCATGAAGGAACTTACTAATAATTTGGCCTCCGATTTGATCGGAATCTGATTATGATCGGAATTAGAAATTATTCTGAGTTTTTTTTTCTTAAATTACTCATTTCCAAGCTGCAGGACCATTTCCAGTAATCTTTAATATCAATTGACAATATCGGTATAAATTAGCATTCATTGACCGTGGTTATCGACCATATCACTTAATCAAATTACTAAGTTTAGGTACTCGTTCAATGCACAATTTGACGATTTTTAATTAAAGAATACATTTTTTGCTTTAATGTATTGTTTAGTAGTAATACATGAAAACAAATCAGATAAACCTGGAATTTTTGGATGTAAGAAGTTTTCTCTTGGTGACTCGTGTTAGCAATTTAGTTGTTTGCATGTCTAAACCCATGTACAGGGTGTCTCATAAGTATAGGGAAATATTTAAAGGAGTGATAGCAAAACTCAATAAATACAAAATAGTTTATATAAACAGTGGTTCAATTTTTGGCAGGAAAGTGGAGAATTAAAGTTTTGCGATTTTTTATGTAAGTCATGTCTTAAGTTGAATTGGAAGTGATAAAAAAAAAAAAAAAAAAAAGAACTATTTAATTTAAGTTATTAATGATAGCTTCAATGTAAATTAGACAAAATTTACTTTAAATAAAAATGGTTTGCTTTTCTTAAAACCATTTAAAGAAGAGGTCTTTTGACTAAGCTCAGGTAAGGAGTGGGAGAGATGGGTAGTGGTTGGGGAATGGGTAGGAGTGGGAGAAGCACGTAGTACAGAGGTGCACCCTGAGAAAATTCCTGGATTCGCCACTGTGGCACATTACGTATTGGTAGCCCAGGTCTACTCACCAAAAGAGAAAAAAAAATTGATATTTTTGGAGCAGCTTTTATTAGGTACCGTTAAATGTAATAGAAAAAATATATAACAATTCAGTTGTAAGTTTCATATCCAAATATTTTTTTAGTGTAAAAAAAGGCCTTTTAAGAATTTAATTGTGACTGAGGAATTATTACTTGAACAAAGGACTTCTATAAAAAAAGCAATCTAGAATTTTATAAAAACAAAACAAAATTATATAAAATTTATTTTCATAAAATAATTAAGCTTGTCATACATTTTCTCAAATATTTGTAATAAAATGTGGCTATACTTTAACCATCTAAGTCTTTACCTGGACATATTTATACTCAAAATGTTCTCTGAGTTTTTCATGATTTGAAATGGACAGCTAGACCAAAAGCCTTAAAAGATTTTTTTTAAATGGTTCAGTAAATGAGTAAAACATGGAATAGTGCACCAAAATTACTGTCTATTTTCTCAACCAAATGAATTTAAAAGATGTAAATTATGTGAGATCTAGAAGAAAAAAAATACTGTTTGCCATTCTCGAAATTAGATCATCAAGGAAAGATTGTCGTAGAAATGTTTAAGCTATTCCTCTGTACTTATTTTTATATTATAACTTATTTTTATTCAAAATAATACTCTGCATGTTGATGTATGCAGTAACTATCTATGTTTTCCATCAATATGCTTCCTTAAGTGCTTCATCCTGGTTAAATAAACCTAATATCATTGATTTAATTTTTACCTTTATTTGAAGCCACTATCTTTGAAAAAAATTTATATTGTCTCATTTGTCTATGTTTTTACTATAGCAAAGGATAGATACTGGACATTTGGATAGTATTCAACAAAAACTTGTAAAGGATTTTGTATCCAGGAAGGAAATAGAAGAAATTAAAAACCTGCACGGGGAAGCTCTAGAAAGAGTAAGACAGGAAGTAATATTTGAGTCGGAATCAAAATTAAGTGCCAAGCTTGCTGAAATTAATGCTCTGATTCAAGGGCAGGTTTGTATATCTTCTTTTTAGTTTTTTTGTTTGTCTTATTATTGAACATTTCTTACTAATAGGTTCTCGGCCCTGCCAATTCGCCTTATTCTACAGAACTCTTTAGTTATAATTGTTTGATGAATTTTTTGTTACACGTTCTGGGAGAACATATAGGCTATAAGATTTTCAATTTTAATGACCTTAAAAATAATTATGTCCTTCTTCTGTGGATGGTGTTTCCTATTTTATATTTTTCTAATTCAAAAATTTCATATGCCTACAGGGTGAGTCAGGAGTAATGGACTGAACTCCAGGAGTGGGTTGCACACATTAAAATTTTTTTTTTTAAATCCATGTATTCCTATCCAATTTTTTTATTTGTTTAAATTTTATCTGATAATTACAAATAAACAATGTTTCATAAATGTCTCAGTATAATAATGATTTTGTATACAACAGATTGTAAATAAGCTACAACATATATCAATTCTGCCGGTGATCTTCTGAGTGATTTCATTCTTATTTTCATTTGTGTTATTAAAGTATTTTGTAGGACCATAGTTATTTCTACTCAGAGGACCTTCAACTGTATTTGCATTGAAAACTCTGGTTCCAAAATTTTCATGATCATAATACTTTACTTAATTTATATTTCAACTGGATATGTGAAAGGACGGTCGAGTTTTGGCGAAATGAAACTCGACCCTCCCACTCTGATTAGAATAGGTTTGGTTGTACCTCTAGAACAAACCCCCCCCCCCTCCCCGTATGCCAGAAATGGTGGGTAGGGGGTTATCTTATAAAAAAAAAATAAAAAAAAAAAGGATATGTGAAAGTAGAAAAAAAAAGATTAACTAAAAAAAAACATTTTTCCTCAGGGTGGAAAAAATGTACAGAAATATTTTATTGTATGGTTTTATTGGTTGTTGCCTCTACTCCTAAGGATAGTTGGCAAAATTATAATATTCTATTCTAAAATTTAGTTTTCTTCAACAATTCCATCTGATTTGATACTAACAATAACAAGTACTGTAGATAAAATGTACTTTTGTAAAGCTTAAGATGATAAAAAAATGTATATCTAAAATATAATGTAGGTAATGGATAATTATGAAAAACTGGGGATGAAATCCTTGTTTTTGTTGTTGTTGATATGAAATAATTTTCTAGTGTTTTTAGAGATTAAAGTCTCTTCTATCTCCAGTTGAGTTTTATATATTATCTAATATTCTGAAATAAAATATTTTTGTTATTGAATATGCTATCAGATTATAATTTTCAATCTAAAAACCATTACACCATTTTATGATATCTTCTATAATTTAATTGCCTTAATTTACTGTACTTATTTTAATTAGGTTTTGTAGCATTTTCATCTGAGATGTAATTACATCATTTTTTAATATTCTATTATTAATTTTTCAGATGCAGGAACAGATAAAACTTGAAAAGATGAGGGAAAATAGTGAATCTTCTATTAAACAACAATTTGAAAATATTAGTTGCACCTTACAGACAGAACTTGGAAAGATTCAAAGTGCTCTAAAAGGTGATTATTATAAATCATAATAATAATAATTTCCTATCCTTAAAATGTTATTGATCATGCAAGCCCTCATAAATTATATTAATTTACTGAGAAAACTCGATTCATTTATAAAGAATTAACAAAATCATTGACTGCTATAATACAGCTGCATAGAACATCTATATCTTGATTCATGTTTCAATATTTCCAGTTACTCCCTTAACTGCATAACTTGTTGCAAATAAACATTTTCCTCGATACTCCTCAGGAAAATGTTACTAATGGGGTGGAATTATCACTTCCTGCAACAGCACTGTCTGGAAGTGCTCTTCCCATTTGGCAAACTGTTTTTGCTGTGTTGTAAGGATACCACCACCTTCTGCCCTCACGGCCCTGTTTTTCCTGAATAGCATTTTAGAGATTCTTTAAAATTCCTCTGCATCATCCTATCAGACATAGATGTTAGCCATAGGAGCAACAGTAAATTCTTAAAATCCATTTTTCAATTCAATTATTTTGCCTGTCAGTATATATTAGGGAGCTCTGGGTTCTACCAACTGGTGCCAAATGGACCTAGGTTTATTAATGAGGTGTTACTCCTCAATCCCTTCTCCTTTTTTCATTCTTGGGATAGACTGTAGATTAGGTCATTACATACCACTGACTCAGCATGGAGTTAAAATCAATCTGAGTTAATGGAAAAGCATAGAATATCTTTGGTTTTTTCTGTTTAGTTTATATTTATATTTTAAACTTTCCAAGTTCAATGTATCCACCAACTTAAAATAATTTAGAAGCATCTGAAACATTAATCAGTACTTGAATGCCGTCAAATTTTTGTTTTCAAATTGTAAAACTAAAACTGCCCTAAGAAATATAATTTTCAACATTATCCTCACTAGATTAGTACTTCAATACGTTTTTGTCCATACTTCCCATATACAGAATGAAAAACTTAATAGCTTTTGTCGGTCTTAAACTCATAATAATGACTCTTGAAATCTCTCATAAAACAATTTTTAATATGAGGTGAGCAATAAAATTTCTTAACAGAGTGGAGATTTCTTGTGGAGAAATGGTTAGCTCTGGTTAAAATGAACAGTTTATGAGATTATTGGAATCATTGGTAAAAACAATAAGGTCAACAATAACTTAGATGCTGCATTCCCTCTATTTCAATTGAATTTGTCCATTTCTTCCAACTTTGAATATAATTCACGTACTCCACCAAATAGATCTCTACAGTTTTGATCAAGATTCTTTACATTTAATAGATTTACCTACAGAAGAATAGTATATGAATCCAGGAGACTTGACTCTAATATGGTCTTGAGTTAGGTTGTTTACATTATGGAGTAATAATGATAATAAGGTGTTGTTTTTGTCATTTTTCTCCCATTTGCAGGATCTGTAGCTCAATGAAATTTGTACCATTCAATTGATTATTTTTTTCTTATTTTCTCCAAAAACTGAGTTAGGCAGTGTTAAAATTTAAATGACTATTTATAATGTTACATTAATTTCTTTTTATATGAAAATATGTATTTCTACACAAAAAAAATTATTACTTTTGACGACTAAATGCTGTGTTTAATGTTAAATCCAAGGATCCTAGAATTTATTTTTACCATCAAGTTTGAGGTGATAAAACCACATTTTAGTTATTTGCTTAGTAACATATTAAAATCTCTTTAGAAAAAGAAGCTGAAGAAAGATTATTTAGAAGTAAGTTTGGAGAATTGGAGATAGAATTAAAGAAAAATCTTGAAGGTAAACAGAATTCTGAGAATTATCAAAGTGATCTAAGGTAAGTATTATTGATAAAACTTAATTTTTTTAAGTTAAGCTTAATGTAGCTCCTGTGAAAAGTGTGTTAAGTGCAATTTTGTGAATTTTTATGGGTATCACAAAAAGCTATTTTTCTTTCTTTGTTTCTAATGGGCCACGTTATGTGGCTATTACAAAGATGATCATTCCTTTGTGAATCATGGGTTGAAACTGTATAATTGAACTTGCACTTGTGAAAATACCGAACTTCTAATTTTGTTTTTCCATAAATATGATTTTTGCACTTAACACATTATGCATAGATGCCACAGTAATAATATAATTTTTTTGTGTTTATGGTTGACTTCATGAAAATCAAGAAGAAGATTGTTCTGGAGTCAGTCAAAATAACATCAAATAATTGCCAAGTATTTATTTAATTGAATAATCGTTAGAAGTCAATCTTCTTTTCAATATAAAAATTTATTTGTTTAAACTTCTATTATATTTATTATGCTCATAAAAGTTGGTAAACTATTAGTAACTTAGTGAATTGAAACCACTGATGTAATATTCTTTCTTTTACATCATTATCTCTTTTCACCAACATATAGACCTTAATCTATAGAAGGTGGGCAAAATCACCTCTATCCTAGTGATGACTATGGCCATACAAAAATTTGTCTGTGACATAGCTTTAATTCAAACTAATACTAATGATTTTTTTTTCATGATTCAACTTGAACATTCTTATTCATCAGAGGGAATACGCCATCATTCTTAGTCATCAGAAACAGTCCTTTGAACTTATAAAACTAAAATTTACATTATCTTCGCTTTCTGAAAATTACAGATCCGTCTTTGATATGAAGCCAAGCCACTCATATATTTTCATGTTTAATTTTTTTTAATATTTAATGTATTGTTTAATGTTCAAGTTTGTGTTGATTATTTTATGGCAAATAAAAATGTAAATGTTCGTTTGTTCAAACTCTTTAATCTCAGAAAGTTCTTCACCCATTGCATTGAAATTTTGGCTTAATGTTGCATTTAAGTATACTCTTTGTTTAATATACCTAATATGATAAAATATAAGATGAAACTATACATATTTATTAACGCACCATCAATTGGATGCAAAAGCAACAAATGTGGTTCAAAATATTTAACAATACTTTTTCAATGTTCAAGATTTTCAAATATCAAATGTGGCAATACATTGAAAATGCACTATACCATTTACCATAGTGTTCATTTTGTGTGCATTAGAGCTGCCTCCTCCTCCCTCAAAAGATTTCGCATACTCCTCCTAAGATATTTGATTGCTGGCTTCTTCTTAATAACAAAATTGAAGTACGTTGAATGATATGGTCTCTATGGACTTTTATCTGCCAATGTTTATAACCTGAACACTGATAATTTGACAAGGCACTGATAATCCCTATCTTTGTATGAAATTCAAAAACAAATGTAATAATAACAAAACACTTTTATTTTACAACATATACATATTGTAATTTAATAACAAGGAATATAAATAAAACACTTTCATTTGATTTATTTTGGAAGGCAAAATAGCTTAATGCTATTTAAATAGCTAGGATTCTAAAATACATTCTAATAAAGTTCTTGCCTTTCTGTCCTTTATTTAGGGAGAACTCTTAAAAATTTGTTCCACATTACGATACATCTGTTCGATAGTTTCAGCTGCTCTTTGCCCTATCTTATTGTTGTCAAATTATGAGACCAAGCATAAATTAATTTTAAAGTGGTTGAATCTTCGACCCCTCTAACCACGTCCCTTTCCTTATAGATAAATTTTTCTTACAACTTACGAAAGCATTTCCATTTCGTCTTCCCGTCGAACTTCATTTCATGACCTTCATCACAATATTTCACCTTCACAATTATCCTGGCGTCTTGAAAAGTCTCTAGTTCTGAAGACGGCAACTCCCACAATGTAACAACATCTATTTCAATAACACACAATCAACTAAGTTCAATCAATAAACGCACACACAACAGCTTACATTAGATAAAAAGGCAGGTTATGTGACGTAACATAAGATAAGAAGGTGATATAAGATAAGATAAGAAGGGAGGTTTACCAGAGACCACGTCGTTCATAAGTAACCAAATTGATTAAATACAGAGTTATAAAAATTGTAGTGGAAAAATAAACCTTACTCATAAAAGAAACCCTACAGTAAACGGAAAAACCTTATTCCAACGTAATGTTAAAGAAAATATTTATTAAAAAATAAAATAAACTGAAATCGATGAAAAACTGATTTCTAAAAGAAACATAAATGGTGATAATTATAACTCAAGAGTTAAATATTTTTAAATAATAGCAAATCAAATATTTGAGATGTATCATACTACTTCCAGAATACATTGGAGGAAAAATAATAAATGAATATAAAGAGCGTATAATAATATTGACCCACATAAGGAGAATCATATCACTTCTTCAAATAATAATTTCAATAACTGCAGTAATTATCAAATTTTCGAATTATCAATAACCAAAAAAAGGGAGGAGAATGAATCATCCGATTTCGAAGATGTTTTTTTTTTATTTTGTAGGGAAGTCGAGAAGCTTTCAAATAAATATGAGTGTTGTATTTACATCCATAATTTTGTGTGTGTGTATATATATATATATATATATATATATATATATATATATATTATTGAGTATCTATTGTAAGTTGCTTTGAAATAATAACACAGGGACCTGCCCGGTCTTCTGTCCTACCTCCTCTCAATGATGGCCTTATGTATTAGCAAAGTACAAATGCTTGATGACAAGCACACAGCCATACAGCTCTCAGCCCACCTCTACCTAATTCACAGCCCATGGCTAATGGAGAGAGAGTCACAGCCCTTCGGCTACACATTGGCGGACACCAATTGCAACACACTGGGCGAGGCGAAAATTGAGACAGCTTAGAGGAGCGGCAACACTGGGAGAGAGGTGATAAACCACAGACATGAGATTGGTCCCTCATCAAATTTTATGTTAAGATTACTATAATTAACCCACTAAAACTGATTGCCCCTTCCGGGACATTAATTGAAAGTCATAATAAAAGGAAATTAGCAAAATTAGTAGTGACATCATGCACAGATATTCCTCCATCGAACTTTTCATTTTTTATTTCACAAGAAAAGGGCTCCCGGTCAAATAGCATGTACCGGGCTCCCCAATATTGAACAATGGGTATTATCCATAAAAAAATTGTGTATTTCTTTAGTTATTGACAAATCAAATTTTGAATTCACTGTAACATTTTTTCAGCTTGTTTTCGGGAGAGTTATTCACTTAAATTATTATAAAATAATAAGTTATCATGTTAAATTATTCACATAAATTAAAAGGATTTCAAGAGGAAGACTTTAGCCAAGTTTCGTTAAAGCTGTTTTGGCACTACAGTTTATAAACTATAGCTATAGCGACATGTTTTTCGGCCGCCTTTTCGAAAAAAAAAGGCCGGATGGTAATAAAATGTTCAAAAAACACTTCTGAATTCAATTACAACGCTGTGTCAAAATTTCAAAGCTATCAGTGAAGAACTTTCGGAGAATAGCGGCTTTGAACAAAAAACATTTACATTTTTTTTTTCACATATAAAATTATCATAAGACAGAAGTACTATGCCAGAAACCTTCACAGGAGTGAATGTAACAACTTCCCAAAGTTTCATGGTGATCGGATGAATGGTTTAGTAATGCATAAAGGACAAACAGACAGAAAGACGTACATTCATTTATATATATATGATACATTATATACATATATGATACAGACATTTATATATATATATATAGATTATGTTTGTGGTTAATTATGTTACTTCCAAAATTAATACTTTTTACAAGACTATATATGTTCAGGCTAATTAACAAGAGGAAAAAAGTTTAAAGGCTTAATGGTATAAATGCTTTATCCTGATTTTATATAATATATAGACTTTGTCATCAGTAATCTATATAAAATTAATATGGTTATTTTCAGTCAAAGTAATGAAGATATAGAAAATAAACTATTGATATCTCCCTCCTTTCAAAAGAAAGACACCACCTTGAAAATGTATCCTCAGCAAAAAGAAGAGATAAACATCTTGAAAAAATGTGAAGGTGAATAGTTATTAATTACAGTATAAAGACTGTGATGTTTTTTAAAATAAAAATTTTAACTATATTTATAATTAATTTAGAATATTCTTTTATTTAGCAAAGTGACAGAAAAAAATCATTTTTCCACCACTTGGAGATGTTCTATATGCATCTCTTTGTTTTTATTTATTTCTAAGGTTTATCTTGCATGATTTTTTTCTAAATGGTTTGATTTGAATGAAGTATTTGTTATTAAATAATTAAATCAGTTTATTTTTATTATCGTTTAACTTGTGTCTCTATTTATAGAAAGGAAAGAAAAAGAGGCCTTGGAGCCAGAAACACTTGAAGAGAAGCTCAGTGAAGAATTAAAACTAAAATACATTAAAAAATTTTAATTTTTGTATATTTTTAAATTTATAAACCATAGATAAACGAAGTACTTGTTAAATTGCCAATTTCTTAAATCATACAATGAATACTGTTAATGTTTACATGCCAAAAGTAAGTAGATATTTATAATAACACTATATATTATATGTATATGATAAGTATATATTATATATAAAAATTTTAATGTGAAGAAAAGGTTGTGCATTGTTGTCGTAAACTGCTCATAGTTTTTCGAGCATTTTAATTTTCAAGAAGTAAATTTTCTGTTTTGACAGAGAATATGTTTTAGTTTATAAAAAGTTAAATGTTAATTAAATATTTTTTCTACACTTTTACCTTAGTAAATAATTTATTATATCTTATTGTTACAACAATTTTGAAAATATAATTATTGGTAGTCCTGATTTTGTCTTGCATTAGTTCAAAAGTAAAAGATTTATTGGTTTAAAAAAGAAACATTTTTCAATATACATGCTCCTAAGATTTGTCCTAGTTGAATGTACCAAGCTGCTATCTATCTAGCACAATTTTCTGCTGAAACAGTAAAAAGCAAGTTGCACAAATAAGATTGATATGTTTGTAGTTTAATATCCTATGCTTCAACTGCCCTAGCCTGTATATTGTAAAGGAATCTGCACTACTATCTGGAAAGAACAAAATATTCAAGTTATATTTGCGCATTGATTCCTTATCTTCCGGTGTGAAGTAAAGAAAAAAAAAATTCTTTTCCCTATCTTAAAAATACAGCAAACAAGTAGTCTTTTGAGTTTTTTTTCTACTTTTCCATATACTTTTCACCATCAGCAAGTATGCTGTATGTGCCAGTTATTTATTTCATATAATAATTTAACTTGTACATTATAGATTTCTCTTGTTTTTTCTGTATGTTATTGATCCTAAGGAAAATTTCTCAATTTCTTTTTATAATTAATCACAATGCAGACTGAATATTAATTTATAAAAATTAAAGTTTGAAATAATAATTTAAAAGAATAAATCAACAGATTGATTTAATATTAATTTTCTTAGAATATTTAAAAATATGAATTTTCTGTTCTAACTGAAATTATACCTATAAATTTAATTACCCTGTTTTGATGCAAAATATCATTTTTATTAATTCTTGAAGTTACCATCCTTTTTTACAAAACAAAAGGTTGCATTATATACTAGAGTTCAATCATAGAATATTTAATTATATCCTTCCAACATATAAACATTGATTCAAATCTCTAACATATCTAGGGATTGGGATATCTTATTAGATAAGGTAATCCTGCACATGTGATATACTTATTTTCATTTTTCTGAAATCTTTCAGGACATTATCTCCAGGACTAACTGTTAGCCTTCCTCCATCATGACAGTTTCCTTACTCTTTTTTACATCAATCCTTCATCCATTCTAATAAAGTTACCTTGCTACTTCAATAATTGTAACTTTGCAAAAGAAGAGATGCTCATATTACCATAGAATTCATTTAACTATACGTTTTTCTTTTTTTACGATTTTTCGGTTTCCCTGTACTGGACCTCTATTGTGTTGATACTTGTTTCAAATCTGTACACCAACTGTGAATCATTCTTGTTAAGTATAAGAGTTTCACATGCCTACATCACTGCAGACAGAATCAATGTTTTGTAGGGGATGATGTGATGATGATGATTTCTTCTATAGTTAGAAATTTCATTTTTCATTAAGATTATGACAAGTTATGGAAAATTCTCAGCGAGAAATCATGGCTCAACTCATCTAATTTATTTTTAAATATTGAAACTTTCTTAATAAATATTGAATCCAAGACCCTACCCATATTATTGTGGTACATCCTGCTACATTCTTTCTGATCTATCTACAAGATAAAACACACATCTAAAGAAACTATCACCTCTGTATAATTTCTGTTAAACAGTAAATGACAAAATAAAAAAACAAAACTAAATTATGACATGTAGCTCAGATAAAATTATTTATCATCATATTTATGCTGAGGTAATATTGATTGTGTTTGCTAGTAACTTTGACTCTAAAGCCTAGTACACACTAGTAGACCATGTTGCACGTTTTGTTTATAGACCGTCTGCGGACAGCCTCGAGTCACGGTATTAAGCATATAGACACCATTCTTTGTATCATCTAGCATCCACACTAAAATGTGAATTTCTCAGTCTTATCTTTGCAGTCCACCATACAATACATTGTTTTGTGTGGAATGAGTTACTGCTTAGTGCTAATTACAAGTGAAAGAACACAAAAATATAAATGTTGGTGGACTCACAAAGTGCTCGCAGAAGGATGTAGATTCAGTAATGCATTATTAAATAAATTAAAAATGGAAGATGCCATGGTAATCTTCAATTAGTTTTAAAACTTTCTCCTTAAATAACAAGTTTTCAAAATAACTGTAAAACTTTGGAAAATAACTTTAAACAGTTGAAACAACCACTCGTAGTTAGAGACCAACTGGGCCGTGTCTTGCCTCTAGATATTGAGTGAGGTCCACACTATCAAAATATTGCACATGTCTAACATTGCCATTCAATTCGGGAGATTTTAGGTCTGGGATTTTTGGTCTCGCTACAGGCCCGTAGGCGTGAATTGGTCTATAGATATGTCTAGATAGACCACTTCTGACTTGTCTCAGAGACCAAATTGCAGATGTCTATTAGTGTGGACTAGGCTTTGTACATCTTGGATTACGCTGTGGTGCTTCTTGTACATACAGCCTAGTTTGATGGGTTTACTTGTGGACACAAAAAATGCGTAGAACTTTTTTATTTTTTTATTCAACTCCTGCCATAACTCAAACATTAATAACATATTTTTTGTAAAGCAATATTTTTATATAGATATATTTTTTTTTGGGAGGGATAGCAATTATAAAGTTTAAATCTGAACTTTTTCATTTCTTTGCAGTTCATCTGGACTACCAATGATGGGCTTTGCTTTATATTTTTTTCTTATGTATTTTTTGAGAGGTGCTACTTTCAATTAAATAATTTATATGAAGGAATATTAGTATATCTGTAAGCATAAACTTGCAATTATTATAGTTAAAATATTCTAATTATCCTCTTAGAATTAATAAATAAGCTCAAGTAAATGTCTAGTCCAGCCATTGTTATAGGCTGAATAATATCCATTTATTTATTTACTAATTTATTTTTTATAATGTATTTATTTATTTATTTTGTTTGTTTGTTTTTTTTTTTGTAAAATGTATACTTGTGGTTGTGATTAGATAAAAGAAATGCCAAAATAGAATTATAATATAACAAGAATAAGAATAGTCTTATAATTTTGTCTAGCTACTATATTTATTGTTTCAAGATTGTAATCTTTCAACATTTATCTGGAACATATTGATAGATTTTAAGAACTAAACAGATTTTAGTGCATTATTTTTTTTTAACCTAGGTGATAGGGAAAAATCCTAATTATAAATCTAACCAGACCACTAATCTATCTAAATCACTAAAATTTTAGATAAATTTCAGTTTTAAGCTCAAAATTGGAATAATTCTTTGAAATGATTAATTGATATATTGTATTGATGCAATTAAAAATAAAACAATCACAATTATTCCCAGTTTAAAATGCATATGTAAAAAATCTGGAAGTTCGGGAATAGCTCCAAACAATAATTTTCATTTAAAATTAAAAATGTATAGATAGATGCAAGTTATTAAGAAATGTGTTAACAGTGAAGCTAACTAAGGAAATTCTTATAAAACATTTCATTATATAGCTAGAATTTATTAAAATAAAATGGAGAACAACATGCAAATGATGCAAAAACATGATTGGTTGTTTGTTCTACTAACTAAAAAGAAAACATGGTTATTAAGTAAGTAACCTATTGTGTTGTATAACTTAATTATACAATAGTATGTGAAGTTAGTAGGAGAGGTGCGGTCATAAATGACTTTGCTTACAAATAAATCTTACTAAATTGTGTACTGATATTTCATCTTAGGTTTTAGATCTTCTTCAAGACTAAATGCATCTGAATCCTTAGGTATTTCACTTGCCATACTGCCGAAGGCCTAAAATCTAGGCTGAAAAATTAGCTTCTTATTTTTATTTAATTTCTATTATGACTGCATTTCTAACCAACTTCTACTATTCAATCTGTATCCAACAATCCCTCCAACATTAATTATATATTTGTATAATTAAATGTGTGAGTTTTCATAATAATTTATCAACTAAAACCTAAAAATATTAAAGAATACTGTAAGAGGAAGTATTAATCAATGAAGTAACATTTTATGTGGATTATTTTAAAAGCTTACCAATTTTTTTTTTCACATTTTTTGATAGAAATATTAAAACTGAAACTATCACCTTGATTCATTATATTATAAAAATGGCAACAAATAAATTTAGACATTGTTAGATTTGGGAGTATTACTTGGCTATGTGTTCAGCATTCAAATTTTGAAAGGTTACTATTAATTTTTTTTGTCTTCCAGTTTAATTATACCTGATATGTTGACTTTTGTAAACCAATTAGACTAGTTTGGTTGTTTCATTATGCACAATTCGATTTTTTTTTATTTATATATATATTCTTTAAATCATCAAGATTTATTAATACGATTTTCCTTTATAATTAATGTATTAAAAAGAAATGTAAAAAAAAAAAAAAAAATCTGTTAGCAGAAACTTTATTTAATATCAACTATTCTCTTTGTTGTGAACAATCATTAAAAGTTCTATGCTGTAAATGTTTGGGAACCAATTATTTTTTATTAAATGTATGGTTTATTGTCAAATATGTATTGCAAACTAACATTAATTTTGAGATTATGCATATAGATAAATGCCACATACCATATGGTAAACATAGTTCGCTGTTGCTTCTTCTTTTCTTATATATAAGGGGTGCCTGGTTACTAGAAATTTAATAATAAATACTGCGTAGTTGACAATCTTTGGAGAAAAATCAAATTAAAACTTACAATCCAGTATTGTCTTAATTTTTCTCTGTGTATTAAAACTGTCAATTCTCTTCAACTTTGAGGTATTTCTGTAACCTATCTATTACATTAATAATCAGGCTTATTAATACCCACCTTTTAATCTTAACTATTGTTTAC